GAATCTACAAGACTATAGTCAAACACTTCTGCTCTGCTATGGTAGTAAAACGTGGACGTTGTTCCTGACATCCGAAGAAATGATCCTGAAATGAATCCTGGTGAATCCGATCCGGAGACTCAGAGGTCGCCACTATCGTCAAGCTTCGATGGCTATAGTGGGCCGCTGGCCATGTGTGGCGAATGGTTGAAGGGAGAATATCCAGACATGTTTAAGGAGAAAGGGTGGAGAACAGGAAGCCACTCGAAAAGCTGAGANGAGGAGACGCATAGAGGAAGGGCAACTGGAGGGTACAGTCTTCGCGACAACAATGACCAACGTCTGATCGACTTCGCTTGCAGTAGGAATATCGTGGTGCGCTCAACGCGCATCGACAACAGAACTTGAGCGTTACCCAAAGAATAAACCTTTAACCAAATAGACTATATGTGTTGAAATAGACTATGTTCTTGTAGACAAAAGGGCAGCCTCCAGCATGATGGATGTAAAAACCTACAGAGGTGCTGACTGCGACTTTGACTAACTCTGGGCACTTGTAAAAAGAAGAAAGGAAATATCTCTATGAGGAACTGAGTAAGAATGATGAAGATTTTAAAACCAGCATCCGAAAACAGCTTACGCCCTAGTTAACAGCATTACGTGCCTAATATACAAAAAGTCTTACAAAGTTTTTTTAAATAGACATATAACAGTATTAATAGAACGATACTGTACAATTATTGGAAATACCTGCGAAACTAGTCCGATTAACAAGGCTTACAATGACGAACTTGATCTTCCAAGCAAGGATCCAGATTTTACACCAAGCTTCTAAACGCTCTCCAAGATGAAGCAGAGAGATGATCTTGCACCTACAATTTTTAACCTGGTTTTGGAGAGCTTCATAAGAAAACTCCCAATTCATACCAAAAGGACGCTACTTTTTAAGTCATAAATACATAAACATAATGACGCCATCACACCAAGCCTTAACTAAACTCGATATGGCAACACGATAGGTAGTCATGGTGCAATCACAGAGAAACGTGCCAATCGGACTCGACCAACCTCTCTGGGGACCGCAATTAAGTCAACGATACTTTCAATTATCAAATGTAAAGACGTCCACAGAGAAGAAGCTGCGAATCTACAAGACTATAGTCAAACACTCCTGCTCTGCTATGGCAGTGAAACGTGGACGTTGTTCCTGACATCCGAAGAAATGATCCTGAAATGAATCCTGGTGAATCCGATACAATCGGGAACTCCATAGCATCTTTGGAGACTCAGAGGTCGCCACTATCAACAAACTTCGATGGCTATAGTGGGCCGCTGGCCATGTGTGGCGAATGGTTGAAGGGAGAATATCCAGACATGTTTAAGGAGAAAGGGTGGAGAACAGGAAGCCACTCGAAAAGCTGAGAAAACGCTAGGAGAATATAGTCGTTGAGGATAGCAAGTCGCTCCTGAAATTTGCGACGTTGAGAACGCGATCGCTAGACTGGACGGATTGGAAACTGCCCGTGACTTGCACTACGGAAGGCTAAGACTAGACTCGGTCTGTAGCGCAATTAAATGGAATTTTATTGATTTGAAGAAACCCTACGACAACGTACCAATAAGAAAGATGATTGCATATCTTCATGGCAATCGGTGTCAGGTCTTACCTCATGAAAATCATTCAAGATGTATGATGATAATATCTATATTAAACAGAGAAAGAAGTTATCAGATGCGAATTCATCCCAGTAACGAGTTAAGACAGGGGTATAACTTATCACCAATTATGTTTAATCTTTATGTAGACGCAATAAAAGAGTGGAATAGATCATACCAAAGTATGGGCGTTCCGACTTAAAACACACATTTGTGCACATTGAACTGACGACCAAGCAATAGCACAAGACGCATATGACCTGGAGTTTATGTTGAAAAGACTGCATATACACTACCAAAATAGGTGTACCTATTGTATGTTTTTCATATTTGGTACGAGAATAAATATGCATTTTTAGACAATTATTATTATGATATTTTTTACTACTTTTCTGGAGTTCTAATAACGTTACATAACAACGGAGGGTAAGGGGTTAAGATAGATTACTAGCGAGATGACCAATAAGGGCTTGGGTGACATTTTCACCCAAGCCTACTGTAACGTTCAAGAATTTTAACATTTCGAGTTGCATATTCAGGCAGAACTGGATAAAAACGAACATTAAAAGATCCAGCGTTCTGCTGAGAAAAGAAGAAAAGACAATAGTAGCCAAGGAACTAGAGCAAAGTGCATCGATGAAATAACGAGGAGAATTTATCCTTGTATGGACACCCGTTTAAAAACCAACCCAACCCAACCCAACCCGTTTATTTAGAAAATGCCTAAAACTTATACCCCGTATTACTGTCCATACAATCTAGAGCGCAAGCCTAGGTGTACAGGGTGGTTCAAATTCGATGTCCGAATAGGCTAACTCGAAAACTATAAGAGTTAGAAGAAAAGCAATTGACATGTCATGATCTCGTTTTTCGAGAAACTGCTAATGCCGAAAACCTCATAGCGCTATCGTCTTTTGTTTTTCCGCTAGAGGCCAGAATTTTAAATATCGTAAAACCCGCAAATGTAATTATCTTGGTTATTATTATAGGTAGAGTATTAAATAAACTTTTTTTAGTGTCGTCAAAGAAATTAAATTTACAGTTTCCTGTAAATTACTGTTCTATAAGTAAAAATTTTAAAAAACATATTTCTGATATTTGAAACAAATATAATTGTTGAACTGTTTAATTTATATATGTTTTACACAAAAGTTGGAATAGATTGCATTATTTCACATTTTTTATTACGAATTAATGTTATTTTTAAATGATTTAATAAATCATCGATAGATGGCGTTCATATGTTTTTTTTTTTAATTCAAATAAACATAGCAACATTTGTTTGTATTCAAAAATTTTCTGAAGTGTCACTTTAAAAATCCTGTTTTGAAGATCAATTACGAAAATTTTGACATGTTAGAATGTTACATATTAAAAAATTATTTGTTTTTCAATACCAGAAGTTATCTTCGTATTTAATTGTTAACTTTTTAGATTTTACCTACCGCCCCGTAACTTACAGGAAACTGTAAATTTAATTTCCTCGACGACACTAGATGGAAATTTTATAAAAAAAGTTTATTTTTAGCTTTATTCTAAAACAATAAGAAATAGACCNGTTTGCACCAGTCTACCAAACACTATTTTTAAGAAAAAGTGTGCATTGGTGTAAGATACCAAACAAAGCTATTAACTGAAACGATGAATCCACTCTACACTAATTGTTCAAAGTTATCTCCGTGTTGTTGAATGCATGAGTTGCTCGACGTATACATGAATTGGCATAATTTACTAGGCCTTGGTTTTTCCTTCGTATTGTCTCCACAGCTGCTTCTTCCAATAGTTATGTCAAGTTATTTTACAAAAAAAACATACTCATTTCCAGTCAATCGATTTGGCAACACAAAGGTACCAATAAGTTGTCCATTGAGTCCGGCCCAAACGTTTATCAAAAGTCTGTGCTGAAAATGATTACGACGAATGTGGATTGTAATTTGCTATATCACAGTATCTTCTACAGGGTGGTCAAAATGTGAATTACCTTTTTTCCGCATTCAATGGCAAGAAAGTCGAAAATAATAAATACGCCCCATATTTAATTGGCTCGCCAGAAAGAGAATTTGTCGGGAAATGCAGGAAACCGGTTATATTTTTATTAGGCCATGATATTTTGACAGTTTTTCGTTTAATTTATTTTTACAATTAACTTTGGTTGATAAATAATCTTTTAGTTTACCAAAAACAACAAACAGAAGAACAAATAAATGATACAATGAAAATTTTCGACAGCCCAGATATGAGTATGGTGGGGTTCCGGCCAATCGGAACAGAGTTGAAGAGATGGTGCTGGCGCTATTATTATTGCTCTGTGTGCTTTCTTGCGCTTCAGACGGCATGTGGCGTCATTATCAATTTTTATTATAATAATAATTATTATTATTTTTGAAGTATATTAAAAACAAAATTAAAAATGTTGAACAAAGTAGTTGCACACTATTTTGTTTAAATTTATATGCATTATTTATGTCTTATATACAAAAATGAAACATACTTATTGAATTTGTAATAAAATAATTTTACGTAATCTATGTAAATGGAAAGACACCATCTCTTTAACTCTGTTCCGATTGGCCGGAACCCCACCGTTCCCCGCATGGCTTATTTCTGTTTCTCTTTAACTTGTAATTCCATTAAATCGCTCTAAAAAAAATAGGGAGCCCTAATTTTGAAAAACTGATAACGGAATCCGACAACCGACATTATTTGACATATTTTGGTAAAAACCGCATTGAAATCCACCCAGCCGTTTTGGATATAACGGAGTCTTACTAAACTGCGATTTTCCGCGAAACTATTTGGAATATCGAAAAAATAAAATATGCCACTTATTAAGAACACATCAGGCTACCACCTGTCCAAATTTCAAATTTTTTCGTACGATAGTTTTCGAGAAAAAAAATCGCAAAGTTGACAAAGTTGCCGGTACCGTCAAAAAACCGGTACTTTTTTCACTTAACTCGCGATAAAAAGAAAACCGCGGATCCGAAAATTTTCAAATTAACATATGTTACGTAGAAATGTTCAGTGATTACAACAAACTTTGTCGCAATTTTCGCCTTGACTTTTTGCACGGATAGTAGGGGAAAAACAAAAGACGATAGCGCTATGAGGTTTTCGGCATTAGCAATTTCTCAAAAAACGAGATCATGACATGTAAGCTACTTTTTTTCTAACTCTTATAGTTTCCGAGTCAGCCTATTCGGACATCGAATTTGAACCACCCTGTACAAACATAAGACAAATAACAGTATAGATGCTGTAAGTAAACCCAAAATTAATGTCAGAGTAAAATTCTGTATCTCGCGAGTAAATCTGCGAGAAAATCAGCTCTGCTAGTAAACAGCAGTATTGAAAAAAATTCTTACCAAATTGTAATGTTTTTATAATACGTAAATATCGATCTTCTGGAGATTCACTGAGTGGTTTTTCCGGGTATAAATCCTTATTTCCGTCCGGATCAGCAACCGCAAGTCGAGCAGTAACATCACACACTAAATTAGCAGTTAGTTGGATATCAGGCATTAACTTGGCGAGGCCTTCGTCCCTTTCCATTTCTTCAATTTGTTCATTCGCCTTAAATTTCGATTTGGCACTTGATGGTTTGCCGTTAAACCTAATAACAAAATATATATATCATTACCATATAACAATTTCAAATCGCAAATTTACCTGAGTTTAGAAGCGTAAGTATCCACGCAAGTTTTCATATTCTTTAAGAGGGAACTGATTGACGGTCCATTACCAGATTTTTGCGGCAATAAGAGATGAACTAGTTGACAACTGATAGCCATCGCTCTAAGTAATTCAAGAGCTGCACAATACAATGGTATGTGTCTCGCCATGTCTAATACTAGAATGAATATAGAAATAATTTTTGTAGTCATATTTTTCTTTTAATAGAAGAAAATTACCTGAATCGTTCCTCAAGTAAGAACTTAATGCTGGTAATAGTGCGCTATTGGCGAGTAATTGCGGGAATTGTTGTGGTAAAACATTCCCGGTTGCCAACTCATCTCCGTTGTCTCCACCCGGATTAATATAACTTGATAAAACTTGTAGCAAAACCGTAACGTGTTCTTCTTCACTGCGTTGTTTAAGTAACGCTTGTTCGACGTTCCAACTTTGCTGTGTTGAACCGGTACCAAATCCGGTTCCCTTAGCCCAATATGATTGACTCCTATCATCCTTCGATTTACTTCCACCCTCTTTTTGCATATTTCCTTGAGTTTGATGCGTAAATATTCCCAAACAAGCCAATAACAAATGTACAACCCCTATGTTTATACTAATTCTTCTTAATAATCTTCCGTCGTCAGTTGTAAGTGGAGTAGCTTCGTATAATTTTTTTAATACCTCGAAAGGTAATGTTGGTAGCGAATCGGCAATGGGCGTTTGGAAAATATCCGCACCTTCACCATCATCGGTGACACCCAAGACTAAGCGTAACAAACAAAGCGCTTTTTTCATATCTTTCAGCAAAACTTCCGCGTAACTTGGCAACCGGAGGAATAATCCGAACGCGGTGAGGGAATGAGGTGGAACGTTTAACATTGACGAAGTTGGTTTCGGTTTTGGCGTACTACAAACGACATCTAAATCTTCGTAAATATCATCGCTACCATCTACTTTAACCCAATCGAAATCGCTCGTTTCAGATGACTGCTTCTCGTTAGACGATGCGGGTCGAATTGTTTCTGGGTAAACCGTGGGAAGATGTAATGCTAATAAAGCTAACCCACCCATCATACTAAACACTTGCAAAGCGGAACTTAACGGTTTTAAATTCGATAAGTTGGCACGTATCTTTTGGTTTTCTTCGTCGGTTCCTTTACTTGGGTAAACGGTTAAATGAATACAAGGCCAATCGGTAGTTATTCCATTATCTTCGATCATCGTTAATAATTGTGCTAAAGTTAGATTTACTGGTAAAACTTGATCGGGTAAAGCATCACATTTTACGATTCTTCCTTCGTAATTATCAATACTTCCGGATGAACCTTCGGCGGAAGTGTATCGCTTCTTTTTAAATAGGGGAGTCGCCGTTACTTGATTTTTCGCGTCTTTTACTCGTTTATCTTTTGCGGTAACACCGGCGGCCATGCTAACTTCCGAATCGATAGCCATGCTAAACCAATTTTTCAATGGATCAACTAACCGATTAGATGAATTGGAATTTTCTTTTTTAGGCGTTTCTGCTTTAAAAGTTGACGAAAATGAAATGTATTGATCCAAAATATCTCCAATTAAAATGTTCGTTCCCAAATATAACAAGGCGCGATCGTGAGTCTGTTTAAAAGCTGGATGGATCGGTAAATAGGGTTGTAAAGTGCCGGTATGTTTAAACAATGTTTCGTTGGCTTTGATGCTAACTGGGACTTTTTCATTTTCCAGTAATAATTGCAATATTAACCTTCGCATAAATCCGGTTATTCCGTTAGTCTGTTGCCCGATTACTTCGCATAAAACTTTAGCTAATAACGTTTGATTGTTTGGATGACACAAACAACATTTCGATAGGAATCGCACGCAAACTTCTTCTAACTGAGCAAAACTCTCCGAATGTACCGATCGTTTATTCGTCGGTTTCTTACATAAAAATTGCAAAAGTGGTAACCAAAACGATGACCCTTCCGATGATCCTAACCAATCTCTCATTAATTTCTCTTCACTTACATCCGCAAAGAATTTTAAAATAACCGTAACTTTTTCCAATTTAGCCATTAAAGAAGTATTTTCTTGTTTTAACGAACAAAATTGTAAAACGGCCGAATTTAATAGCTTAGGTAACCCAGAGTCTAAAAGCTGTTGTACGGAAGTTGGCGATCGGCTAACTAAAGCAATAGTTTCCAATTGATCATTACTCAAATTCAAATATGGAAGTTCGCTAATTATCAAATGACCGTACCACTCAGAATTACACTCAAAGCTTTCTTTTGAATCATCAGTCATTCTTTCAGAGTCTTTACGATCATCTGAAATTGACGCGGCGCGATCGGTCGACAAATTCGGTATTAAAACACCCATTTTTTGCAAGAGTAATGGGAAAAATTCGCTTTTGATGTAACAAAGAGAGCATAAAAGTGAATCTAATGCACATTTTAACGGGATATTCTTCACGGACAGTTTGTTAAATTCATATATAGCGTCGAATAGTTGTAATGTAATCATTTCCGATAAGTTGTAATTAACGTTCGTTAGGTTAGCGTTCCAAATTATTGATGCTATACTGGATATGTAAGCTGGACTGCAAGTGTAAAGATTATTTTGCCGCACCGCTTGAAGCGCCATATCTTGTAACCAGTTGAGTACTAAAGCTACACGATATGAAGTATCTTGATCCTGAAAATTAAAATATATGTAGTAGTAATTAATTTGGTTAACAAATATACAGGGTGATTCACATAAGAACCGACACAGAGCAGGGACATGTAGAGGGCAATAAATTAAGATGATTTAAAGTAACTTACCTCTATACACCCTTGTCTAGAAATCAAATTATCTTGCAAACCGGCAAATAAATTAACTTTACCAACACATTACATGAAGGACTATAAGAATGCGGATTTCATGCTTTTATATCGACGTTTAACTGATACGGATTTTTCTTTTTTGAGTACGTATGATAATGTGGATGATGCAGTTGCTGTATTTTATGATATTCTATATGATATCTTAGCTGATTGTGTCCCGAAAAAGCAAGTTGGGGCTCGTAAATATCCAGTGTGGTTTAATCAATGTATAATAAAAGATATTAAGGCTAAGGATTTCCATTTTAAACACAGAAAAGATTCCACGTACCATTTGGATAAATACAGAGAACTGAGGGCCAGGGTCAAACGGGACACTGCAATAGCTTACAATAATTATACACGAGATGTTGAAAATAATATTGTAGCTGATCCGAAGGCATTTTGGAATTTTATTGGTAGCAAAAGGGATAACTTTAACCAGAGTCAGTTTTGTTCCGACGGAGTTCCTCTTGCTTCTAGCGAAGATATCGCATCTGCTTTTGCAAATCATTTTAAGTCCGTTTATGGTTCAACGTCGAATTATTCTCTTTCGTTCTATGATGACATTATCAACAATAACTCATTCGATTTGTTCAACTTGGAATCCTTCTCAATGAATGAAATTGGTGATGCCATAAATAAGCTTAAATCTAAACGTACAGAGGGACCAGATGGTATTCCCTCTTACATTGTGAAGGGCTGCAAAGACGCCTTTGTAATGCCATTATACATAATTTTTAATTTATCACTTGTGACGAATACATTTCCAAATGTTTGGAAGGTCGCAAGAGTGACTCCGATTCACAAATCTGGCCCCTCTGGTGATGTAGGAAATTATAGACCTATATCGGTAATCTCCTGTTTTGCTAAACTTTTCGAACAATTGATTTATCGCAGGATTTTCAATCAAGTAAAACTTTCGTTGAATGTTAATCAGCATGGATTTATTCCTGGTCGCTCTGTGGAGACCAACTTAACTATCTTTACGGATTACGTTTCCAAAGCATTGGATGCTAGAGCTCAAGTGGATGTTATCTACACGGATTTTGCAAAAGCATTCGATAGGGTGGATCATGATACGCTTCTGCACAAGCTGGCACAACACGGGTTTTCTTATTCTACTCTTAGTTTTTTTGTTTCATATTTGTCCAACAGATTTTATTACGTCTCTTATAAAAACGCAGTATCAGATATGTTGGGGATTGATTCAGGGGTTCCGCAGGGTAGTAATCTGGGACCTTTGTTATTTTTGTTATTTATAAATGATTTGCCCCTGGTAATTAACTCAACCAGATGCTTACTCTTTGCGGACGATCTGAAGATATTCACAACTGTACACGACTTAACTGACTGCCGGTCCTTACAGTCTGATTTAGATAACGTATTTAATTGGTGTCGGCTCAACAAGCTCCATTTTAATGTGTCTAAATGTGAGTCAATGACGTATACATTGAGGAAGAGGCCGATAGAATTTGTATATAAAATAAATAATGTGAATTTGAGGTGTGTTGTTAAAAAGAGAGACTTGGGTGTGTTGTTTTCGCCTGGTTTATGCTTTGCTGAACATATTAAAGCCACAGCAACCACAGCTTTGCGTCTCTTAGGATTTGTCATTAGAAATGGGTACAGTTTCTCAAACTTACAGACGCTGCAATTACTGTTCAATTCTTTAGTGCGATCTAAGCTGGAATATGCGGTAATAGTATGGGATCCCGGGTCAATTCTTTATTCTAATTTAATAGAAACTATTCAAAATAAATTCATTAGGTATCTCTACTACAAAAAATTCCGTGTTTTCATTGGTTTTAGATCGTACGAATTTGCACGCAAATTATTTAAGATCACCAGGTTGTCTCTCAGAAGAAAAATTATATCACTCTGTTTTCTGTATAAAATGTTGAATAATAGTATAAATGCTCCATTAATATTAGAAAATATTGGTTTCTATGCGCCTGCATATTGTGGTAGGCTAAAGAATCTTTTCTATATTCCTCGGTTTTCAACTGAACTGAGACGAAATTCTCCTCTTATTAGAATCCTTTCACTGTACAACACACTGTCGGCTTCTTCCTTCATACCTCTGTTTGGCATTGGTATTAGATCGTTTAAACAACATTTGACACCTTTGATAAGTGCTGCAGCCACCCAGTAGCCAAACTTGATTTTTGTCATTGAATTCTGTAATTTGTGATGTAATTCGATGGGTTAATTAACATTTATGCTTGATCTTGATTGTTTTGTTATTTTTGTTGGTTATATTATGTACTAGTAGACTTAAGTTCTGAAATTTGTAATTAGGGGCAACCCTGTAATTTCGGAAGTAAAATAAATAAATAAATACTAAGTTGTACACTTGAGTAGTTATAGGCCTTCAAAGTTGTAATTAAATTAAGTTAGAAAAACCAAATTTGGTATACGTTATGAGTGTACCGTTACGTTATGGTAATTGATAGCAAATTGAACTGAATTGAGGCATTTCAAAGGGTTGATTAAGGGTGATGGTACCCTAAATTTTGACAGATTTTTTTAACCTTTTGGTGGATTTAATATATTACTACTTCATTTCATGTGGAATTTAATTCTAAAACTTTTCTTACTCTTATTATTTTTTAAAAAACTTTGACGTTTTCGAAAATTCAGTAGTCGGCTATGAAATTGTACGTCAAACTTGACAAATAGGTTATAAAACCTTGTTGTTGAATAACTTTATAACCTATTTGTCAAGTTTGACGTACAATTTCACAACCGACTACTGAATTTTCGATGATTTTAGGTAGCATTAACGAAATACGTGTCTTTAGTTATTTGAGTTTTTTATGAAAACGACAATAATGTATTAAATCCACCAAAAGGTTAACAAAATCTGTCAAAATTTAGGGGACCATCACCCTTAATCAACCCTTTGAAATGCCTCAATTGGTCTTAACCAATTAATACCCTCGGTACACTCATAACATATACCAAATTTAGTTTTTCTAGCTTAATGTATTACGAAGATATTCAATGTTTTAAAAATTTTAGAGCCAACTTTGAAGGCCTGTAACTCCTCAGGGGTACAACTTAGTATAGAGATAAGTTGCGTTAAATCATCTTAATTTATTGTCCTCTACACGTCTCTGCTCTGTGTCGGTTTTTATGTGAATCATCCTGTATAAATAAATAGTTAAAGTAATACTTCTTGATTTAATTTCGTCTTAATACAATAATTATTAAATAAAAATGTTCTAAAATAATTAATAAAATTACTCCATAAAGACGCGCACATCATAAAACGATAAACTTTCGATAAAACCGAGTTATAACTAAAGAAAAAAAAAACGACAATATATGTTTACAATTAAAAAAATCTAAAACATTTCAACAATTTTGTTGATGGATCGATTACGCACAGACAAGTTAAAAAAAACAATAAGTACACCCAATTCTGTTTTTATACGATAGATACGCTCCCTAAAGAATTCGTGTAAAAAAATTATATGTAAAAAATCCGGTTCCGGGCCTAAACAATCATATGATAATAATACACATATAATAATATACATATTATGTATATCATAACGCAATAAAATAAATGAATCTTTTTTGCGAATATAAGCGTTCTAACTAGTTTGACTTTTGTTACTACTAGTTTGACTTTGAATTCTATTATTTGCAGTAAAATTTTACTAGCATGTGTATAGGGATGAAAATTGATGTTGTCCAATCTTTTGGTCATTTTCGTGGTATCCATACTTTGTTGCATACATCTAAAAAAGTATTTTTACAGCCGCATCGTCCAACTTTCTACCTGTATTTGTTAGGTCTGCTGCAAAGACCTCACTTGTGTTTTGGTGATGTATAGCTTCTATCACTTCTTCTATCAAGCTTATATTTATTATTCGTTGTCAGAATACAGTCCTTCACAGTTCTGTGTCCACCAGTAAAACACCATCTCCTGTTCACAATATCTTTCCATCTATATTTTCTATTGCTAACGGTCTAGGTTTGAATTTCCTTGATAGCAGGTTCACTTATTATCCGTTGTGTTCGCATTAGTGATGGGCAGAAATAGTTACCTTACGATATACAGGTGTCCCGTATCTTCCGCATCAGAGCATTATACGGTTGTAGGATACATTATTCTGAAACGATCTTTCTAATAAAATTTTTTCGAAATGTTTATAATAACCGCACGGGAACTGTTTAAACGAACTGTTTTTCGTCCAATCAGCAGATCGCAATCAGACTCAGGTAATCGGTGCCACCCTCAGCCGGTCCGCTACGCCGATGATAACTCGTTTCCTACGTGTACTCACCAATGGATTCGTCACGCGAAGAGAAATAAACTTTTTCGGTGAATCAAACTCGTCCGCTATTGGACAAAAGCGGATAACTTTAAATTGTTCCCGTGCGGTTATTATAAACATTTTGAAAAAAATTTATTAGAAAGATCGCATCAGAATAATGTATCCTACAACCGTATAATGCTCTGATGCGGAAGATACGGGACACCTGTATACCCAAATTTTATTTACCTACTCGCACTCGGGTATTTATTTGGGTGGCACGGTAGGTACAGGTGTACTGAGCAAACAATTTAGAACTGGAATCTTCGCATTTTGATTGGCGCAAAGGGCGAGGTGGTGCACTGGAACGACGCGTTGGCACACGCATCACCTCATGATCAACAGTCAGTAGTGTCAATACTTAAATTCAGTAGCGAGCGATCTGGTTCACTGTACGCGGAACAAAATGGGACGACATAAGAGTGCAATATGGGACTTATTCACACTTAAAAACAAACATTCAGCAATTTGTAAATACTTTCGCAAACGTCAATAATATGACGACACACATATTTAATCAATGTGTTAATGCCCAGTGGAAATTAAAAGGCGCGTTCAACCAAATCTACCCAAAATTTCGCAACGAATTACATCGATGAAAGGGTCCACTACCGCTTCAAATGATGTTGCACTTTCATCTACCCAAGAACCGACAGCTGATAGCCCTTGTGAATATGTGATAGCCCCCAGATATAGAATATGCGGATATGAAAAGTATAATTGATCAGCAACTGTAACAGGCTGAAATTCTTCATTTGCAATGTGATAGATGGAGTAATTTACGAAATGAGGGCATAGTAAATTTTGTGATATCAAAACCCGAACCGGTATTTGTGGATTTTATTTCTACAGGGTCTAGCAAACACACAGCAGAATATCTGAAGAGTGAAATAAAGAAGATTGTTGATATATTTGGCTCCGAAAAGTTCCTTGTAGTAATAGGAGACAATGCTGCTAATATGAAAACGGCATTTAGGCTTCTACAAGACGACTATCCTCATATCGTACCACTGGGTTACATGTGCTCATACTCTACATGCTCATACTCTTCATCTTCTGTGCAACGATATGTTACAAGTAAAAAATTTTCCACCTATACAGAAGTTAATACCAGACGCTACACACATAGTTAATGAAATAAAACGATCCAAAACTTTATCTTTTCTTCTACTTGTGGAAATAAGCAAAACGAAGAGGTGTTAAGTTAGTTTAGAAACTGCCATGTAAAACGCGCTGGGGAAGCCATCTCTACTGCATGGAAAGCTTAATATCCTACAATGTCAGTCTTCAAACTTTAGTTGTTCACGAAAAGGCAACGTCGTTGCATGAAGATATAAAAACTCGTTTACTAAATGACACTTTCTGAACGCAAGTACAACAAATTCGTGACACTCTGGATGCTAGTCTTTCACTAATAACTACCCTAGAATTAAACACGTCAAGTCCGATTCATCTTGCCGCTGCACTACTGAATCCTTGTTCTAAAGGAAGCAGTTTGGAAGCGATCTCCTGAAGCGTTGGAGCAAAATATCAAAATCACACAATCCTTAGCTACCTTAAAACCAATAGCTGTTTTTTTGTGTCTTCTCGTTCTTTTTCAAAAGAGACCACTCTCATCTGCACTAAAAACTTGATGAAGCCCTATATACAGGTGTATCTCAATGACTGCAACAAACTTCAAGGGGTGATTCTTTAGTGAATTTTAAGGGTACTTTGATATATGAACTATGAGCGACTTCGGCTCCCCTAAGGAGGTACACCCCTCCAAAAATGGCGGAAAATTTTAGTTTAATTTTTTTTTCTCAAAAACCATAAACGCTAGGAAAATGAAATTTGGGGAATATGTTTAACTCATAATAGGGCACCTTTTGACCCTATTTGTACTTTCAACCTACCCTTCTAAACTATACACCCTGTATAAGACTCACGGGGCTGACGTGGCAACAAGAAACTCTTAGAAGTGAAATTTTTTTGACTGGGTGTTTACAGATATAATAATAAAAATGTTTACCTGATATCCACAAACTTGATAGAGAAGTTCACAAGCTGATTGTGATCCAGCTGAATTCATAAAGATCTTGCTACCAGATAAATTAATAACGATGTTTGTAGGCTCATTCACATTAACTCGACTATCCAGTAAATTTTTTATCGTGTTCAATCCGTTTTCTCTACTAAATAAACTCAAATCGCACAAAACTTTCTCTAAATTTGGCAAATACAATGTTGGAATATGCGTTGGAACAAGCAAAAGTCCACAACAAGCGTTTAGTAGATTCGGAACTTCGGTTGCATGTTGAATAATCTGGTTTTGAAATTGTTTGTCGTGCGATAAAATAAAGCAATGATGGAGTAATCTGAGCCATCCTAAGCTGTAACGACAATGGGACTCGTCTTCTGATAAATCCATCACTTGTTGTTTAATGTTTCCTCCAAAAGCGGATGTACCCAACAATCTTATTTGAGATAGTCCTATGTTGTTTGCATCCCTTGGTTTATACAGACGAAGTTGGATGCAGTTGACCACTTCTGGAACAGGAAGATGTAGTCTAATGAACGTCATGCCACTTGTAGGCAATGGAGGACAGGCTGGAACTAGTCTAGATGGACCATCTGCGGAAACCTAAGCAACACAAAAAAATAATTCAACAAAAATTACGAAATAAGATGAATTTAATTTTATTTTACTTCAAGTGCTACAGCTGATGGGCATGTAGCTAAAGCGCTAAGATGTGGTTGTAAATGAACTTCTCTAAGTAAAACAGCACTTGGTAGTTGAAGAGTAAGTTCCGTGTGAGCTTCATCTGGATAGAAATGGTATGACCATTGAGGAGTTCTTGCACGGCGGTGTGTGGCAGTTCCACCTTGGATTAAAACATCAGCAGGATGGGCACTACCATTTTGGCACCTTAAAAAAATATTTAAGAAAGTAATATAAACATCAGCATTTAATAGATATAAATTTACCTTATACTACCATATGGAGCAAAATTAACTAAAGATAAATTATTCTCCAGACACGCTTGTTGAATTTTCTTTGTTGCAGATGAAGCCGCAATTGCGGTACTTGCATCTGAACGAGCGCTAAATCCGACAAAATGCTGCATAACCATGGACACAGTGCTAGCGTGAGAGACGGTGTTTGGAGCATTACTACTGCTTACTAAACTACCCGCTAGAATTTGTATTCCCCCTAAGGATATGTTTGAAATGAAATAATGTCAATACTCTCATTACCAATTATCATATAAATACATACCAACACTATCGAAACATCTAAGAGATTCTTCTGTATCAAGAACTTGTAAAATAAACCATAATAAGGGCTCGCTAAGTTGCGGGGCATTTGACAAGAAAAGTAAAAGCGGCTCCATGACGTAAATCTTTTGTGATGCTTTTCTGGCAAGACCTGTTAATAAACTGAAAACTGCGTCCCCAACTGAACTTGGTTCTCCAATATCAGGAAGAGCATTCTAAAATTTTTTAAATTAATTAAAGGAATGTATCAATAATTTTTTTTTGCATACCTGTTGTGACATATTTGCCAACATAGAAAGTGTAGAAGCTTTACAAGAAGCTAAAGCTTTACATAACTGTATAATACTTGGATGGTGTTGCAGCACAGTATCAGCAAGACAAGGTACTAATGGACTTTGTCTCATTTCTTGTTGAATCTGTTCCGCTTTACTTTCATCCGTTTGCGACATCGTCTCAGTCTCCATTGCTTCAACTAGCAAACCACCTGAATTTGGGAGAGGGGTTTGCACTAACTTTCCAAGTAATTTTAATAAAGAAATCAACAAAATATCCCATGAAACAGGTTTATCTTGTTTATTTGGTTCCGTCCCCAACACAGACGCAAATAAACCGCCGAACGTTGGGCATGTTGGACTTAACCTTTCACCAATATTCACGCATTTAACATGATCGCTGTTTGAAACATACGAGTAAACCAAAAATCCTGTTGATTCCAATATACTAATTGCTATACTCAAATCTGCGTTTGAATAATCTAAATAGATCATTGTTTGAAGTAATTTACATTGCGCGTCTAATGGTCCTTGCTTTGCACTTAAGGGTCCAGACGGTTGTACCAATTGATAAACGATTTTTAATAATAAAGATTTCAATAAGCTTCCTGCCATACTTGAGGGAGATACTACATCGCATCTCATATGTAACCGTACCACAAAATCATGTAAAGATTTACATAAGGATGGCCCAGCCAATCCCTTATCTGAAAATACTAAACCACTACCAGATAATAATCTCAGGAACATTTGTACAAAATCCGGGTGGTTAAGTACATAACCGGTTCGACAGTACAATCCGTAAGTGTCCGACCATTCCGTGTTTGAACCGTTTGACCCATGCATAATGTTACATATTAACGTTAAACTTTGAAGTGCTGAACACCAAGTGCGTAATGACAAACCAGGACTCCAAGTGATGGCAGTTATTAACGAATTAACTGCTTCCGGGCTTAAAGAAATAAATGGTATGCTGTTGGGATTGAATTTTTCATCGTTCCTTAATGAAAGTGTTAACCATAATTGTAGGATATGTTCGATATTTGTTGATGATTGTAACGGTAAACTTTTAAATAAATTATCAAAACAATTAATTAGCATATTACGATTTCTAATGGGTTCCGTCTGAATTTGCCATGATAACAATAACTCTTCTGGCCAAGCCATAAGATCCATCTCCGATTCAGCAGCAATCACTGGTGTGTTTATATTCTGAACCAAACTGTAACTACTCATTGATATCAACCTCCTCAAAATCACCTCTGCTTGTAATTCAACGGTTGCTTCCAATCTTGAATCCATTGCGTACGATTCCCCTTGATTTGTTTTTGGGGGCTTTTTCAATAACGATCTTCCCCGTTCTAAAATATCATCCAAGAAATCTTCGAATTCCGAATCATCAGACTCAAAAACGGACGGCAATGGACCGCTATTGTTATTACTTGGTTTAGTAGTTTTTAATTGATCAGCCATTATTTGATCTTCAATTTCAAATGCTTCGCATAAATTCTCAACATCCGCTAAAATATCCCCGCTGAAACTAGTTGAGGGCGTTGTAACGTCCGTTTCCATTTCGGTATCGGTTGGTAAGAAATATGCAATGTCTACAATGTCGTGTAAAAGACAAGCTAAAGCATGTGGAGCCCATGGCAATTCTGATCCAATGCATAAATGAATCAATTTATTTAGTTGTTCCTCAGTCATGAGATTTCCAAGACTCATTCCAGACATTCTAACCAACCTAGCAATTACTTTACAAGATAATAAAAACATATCAGCACTGCACGAATGATCCATCGCTAACAATAAAGTAAGTAATCCTTTAGCTACAGCTAAACAATGCATGGTGTCGATTTTTTGAGGTAAATTTTGAGGACTTTGTTTTCCGTTTACATCAGCACTTTCTCTACGCCTTTTTCCTAAATGTTTTGATGAAGAAGACGATGGAGATGACACGTCTGCTTCGTTCTTAGTATCTTTTAGTTTGTATTGTTTAATTTTTTTGAAAAAGTTTTCTTGGTGTTTTAGGGCCGCTTCTAATTTTGAGGTTAAATTGGCCGCGTGATTAGATAATGCGGTCAATGCTTGCACTTGAACCGGAGTTTGAACAACTTTATGTGTGAATTCTTTATGGGTAAAGTCTAAATTACCCAGTTGTTGTTTATATTGTATAAATCTTTTATGTAACTTCTTACGACACGATGAACTCAGCGATTCATTGCTACTTTTGCCCGCCATTTCCCCTGTTACCCAGTCCCAACGGGTGGCATTTTGAGACGTTCCCTTACATAAATCTAATTGCAAAGATAAAAACAACAACAACCATCCTAATAAAGGTAGATCTATAGTGACAGCTAACAAAGAACGTCGATCGTTCGCCAAGGGAAGTAATGCTTGGGAAATAACTCGCATTGTCGCGTCTAAAACCAAACTACGATCCATACTTCTTCTAACTAAATATGCTAATAACACAAAAACTCGATCTTGAGGGAAATTCTCTGAATACGATGACGAAAACATTTTACTTAAAGTATCAGCAAGGAAATTTCCCCAAAAGGGTTGTTTTCTACATGTTCTATCCAATAAGGTAGCTGATAAAATTTGTACTCTCGATCTTTGCGAAACGCAATAACCCTCAAATATCTTGACACACGTTTCTTGATCGATTTCTGTCAAATTTTCCATCGACAACAGAATTTCTAATAATCCTTCAGAAATAAGCCTTAATTTATCCATTGAAGCATCCGCTAACGAATTCACTTTTGGTACAAACACCGAGCTGTTCATCGCTGCTTCTACACGCGTTATAACAGATCGAACCACATTAATTTGTCTTTGATAAGTTATCGCCTCTTGATAGACGGTAAATATTTTAGTATTATCCGCGTTTCCGGCATTATTTGTTTTATCACGGATCGTTTCCATGTAAGCGGATAAATGGCTGGCATTTGAGGAGTCGGACATTAGTAAAGGATGTAAAAGATCTTTTAACTTTGAACATGCCAAACTGTAGCGGCAGCTTACGTCTTCAAACAACATAGTTAATACGTTCATGTGTCCTTCTAAGTCGCCTTGGTTAAGAACGGAAACATCGTCGGGTATATCAGAAGGAATTTCTTTTGGTAGAACTATGATGTGACCATAAAAGTTACCAATGGGTATACGGCATCTTGTTGTGGACATACCGTACCGTCCTACAGCAGTTATCTAAAATAAATAATATTACAAATACAATAAGGAATTAAATGTTTCCCATTACCTTCATGTATCTAAATAAGGGTGGTGGCTGTAAGTCTGTTAAAACTAGGTCTCTACTGCCAATATCTGATGAAACAACGAGGCGTAAAACGTCGGTTTCTTCATTTTTCAACCACAAGTCGATACTAATTGATACCAAATCATGATATGCCGGAATCATTACATCCGTTAAAAGTGTAGGTTGTCCAAAATCCAAAACTACAAATCGTCGGGCTCCCGAATGCATTCTCTCGACGACAATAACTTGCGCGGGTGGAGGAACTAATAGTTGTTGTAACGGTAATGATTTGTTAGGCGATAAGATTTCTTCGACTCGTTTTGTTTTCGTCGATGTGGAAGAAGATGGCATAACGTCTTCATTAAGCATTACATAAGTATCTAAAACTAATGAATAAAAATTGGAAATAACGTGATTTACAAATTCTAAACTAAACTAAGCTCTTCGGCAGATCAGTTTCCTATATGATGATGAATACATTATGGGTTATTGTACAAAAATAGATTTTAGTAATTAGAAAAATGAACTCCGTCTGGAGAACCGATTGGATGGACTTAGTAGCCTAGGATAAAGCATCCTCCTTTAGGAGAAGGGTTGCTAGGTGAAGTCAGTTACCTGCCTAGTGTAAAACCCTCACTGGGCTCACAAAACTGAAACTGATTGATACTCAGTCTCGGATACCGGACGCATAAACCATATGACGAACACAGCAGAAAACTGCATCACCAGGATTGCCTGTTTTAAAATAACATCCTGGAATGGTGTAAATCAAGAAATTACAATAGAAATGAAGAAACATAACATTGAGATTTTTGTGATTTCTGAAAAAAGAAAAAGGGACAAGGCTCAGAAAAATACGGAGATTTGTTTTGGTATATAGTGGTGCCAAAGCGAAGCAATAGATACTACACTCTGGGGTGGGCATTCTATTGCACAATAGATACACACAAAGTATTGAAAACATCGAATGAATTAGTGGCAGGATGCTAAAAGTCTCCTTAATGCTGAACAGCATTTTTATCCATCTGGTAAACACCTACCATCAAAAAGCAACCATCTATCTACAATTTCAAGACACTATCAACAAAATAAATGATAACAAACCAAGACTGCGCCAATAGAAACTTGACAAAATTACTTTAAACATCTCTATTCAGCCGAAGAACTACTCTGTAGATGTTGAAGCCAAACTTACAAAATTAAAGAAAAGAAAGTCTTGTGGAACTGATAACCTAAACTAAAATAAAGAGTGAACAAGTTGGTACAGAAATTGTAAGAAATTTTTAACAAAATTCTTCATGATTCAAAAGTACCACAGGAATGACATAAAATATTAGCATTCCATAATTTAATAAAAGAACAAAAAACGCGTCCAAAGAATTAGGAGGATATAATCTAAACTACAGAACCAAATAACTAATGCCTAAGTACAACAAGGTTTCAGATACACAGTATTCATAATCAAACAGATAAAAGAAAGGTTTATTAAGTTTGACAAACCTACATTCATCAGCTTTGTATATCTTACCAAAGTTTTCGACAAGGTCCATCTGGCACACCGCTAACAAACAGTGTGTTATGCAGAAATAATCGCAGGAATACAAGACGACCTATAACGACAACTGCATCACTTTTTTCAAGTAAGCCGCAAACATGGCCACTTCCGTTGATAATACCAAGCCTGCATGACTGTATGACTACTGCGACAGATCGGATCAGATGTCAAAACTATTATCGGATTCAAAAGTTATTGCCCCTCACTTTGAACGCGAATAACAAAAAAAATTACTCCTTAGAAAAAATCGAAACCACCTTTGTTGGACGCGAAATTTAATTCTTTATAATGTGTAATAATTTCAAATTTTTTTCTCCCACTCGTATAGGAATTGTTACAGGTATAATGAAAAAATGTACGCGATTTCGGACGATCGGCGAAGAAGCTCGACTTTGCGATTTTTTTACACGGGAACGGTTCATCGAAAAAAATCTAAATTTCGACCACACATTGCCTAAAGTGTACTAAACATGCCAATGTTCTTATTTTTTTATTTTTCTGACCCATTTTCAAAAAAAACTACATTATGTGAAGTAGTGATATCTCGATAACGCGTTATCGTATGAGATTGAGGCTAACATCATTTTGACCGCCTGATGAAATTGAATAAAACCCTAACCCTCATTGTACATGAAGTACTCAATGGGATTTTATAATAAGAGTTAAATCAATCCGCGCGAATCTATTTCCGCGGGTGTGAGGAGCAGAGGAAGGTTACGCCGGCCGGGCCTCTTCGGCATTATGTGGCGGGGAGACATCTTCAAACGTATAGGATAGAAACGGCTTAAGCACACTGTACAAATTTTTGTTATTTTTTGCATTTATTTTTCAAATAATTTTTTAAACAAGTCACTACTTTTTACTGGTAACCACAACAATGTATTGTCTGCTAGATTAGCAGTATCACTGTTATTATTCGTAGGTTTATACAGGTGTATCTGAATGACGTGCCCAAACTTCAGGGGGTGATTCAGGTGGTTTAAAAGATTAAACCAAAATTTTCCGCCATTTTTGGAGGGGTGTAGCTCCTTAGGGGAGCCCAAGTTGCCCATGGTTTATATATCAAAGTACTCTTAAAATTGCCTAAAGAATCACCCCCTGAAATTTGGGCACGTCATTCAGATACACCCTGTATACGGTTTTACAGAAATGAAAACAACAACCAATTTTTCGATTATTTACGATTATTCTGGAAATTATATTGATAAGACAGTTTATATATAAGTAAATTATATATAGTAGAATAGTGGTTTATATACAGGATAATTCAAATTCGACCCCCACCATTAGGATCTCAGAAACCATAAGAGATACAGAGAAATGGTTAAATGGGGGCAAAGTTGCGTATCTTAGAGCTCATCATCTTTCAACTAAGTTTTTGGATCTAGCCGTTTTAGTTTTTAAAATATGGCCAAAAAACAAAAAAATTGATGTTAACCTCAATCTCATACGATAACGCGTTATCGAGATATCACTATTTCACATAATGTAGTTTTTTTTGATAATGGGTCAGAAAAATCAAAAAATAAAAAGACCCGTGTAAAAAAATCGCAAAGTCGAGCTTCTTCACCGATCGTCCCAAATCGCGTACATTTTTTCATTATACCTGCGACAATTGCTATACGAGTGGGAGAAAAAATTGTAAATTGAAATTACCACACATTATAAAGAATTAAATTTAGCGTCCAACAAAGGTGGTCTCGATTTTTTCTACGGACTAGTTTTTTTGTTATTCGCGTACAAAGTGAGGGGCAAAAACTTTTGAATCCGATAATAGTACTGGATGACAAGTTAATTGAACAAGTCATGCAATTTAACTATTTAAATGTACACATATCTAGCGCCCATGATCTAGTGAAAGATTTGAGGAACCCAATTAAAAAAGCATCCAGAGTGTTAGGGCGTTTAAGAAATACAGTTTGGTTATATCTGTATATGCGAATAGATAGCATAGTTCGAATATATATGTATAGACGTTTATAAGACCGATAATAATATACAGAATAGAAGTGAGAGCAAAAAAATGAAGACATTGACATCAATAGTGGCAAAAACAAGAATGGGCAGAATGAGAAAAGAAGCTTGGATATTAGAGATCAATGAAACATTCCTTACATAGTGAGATGGGGAAGACAGAGGAAAAGAGAACATGAGAATTCCGAAAATCGTGATTGTAAATAACCCCCAACTCAACACCACCTGGGACGAACTCCAAAGGCACGGTGCAATAGCTGGCATTTGACATCTCAGGAAATAGTTCAAAGGCAACAACTTCAGAATTAACAGATCGACAGATGTCCAATAAGGAGAAGAGTAATGTTATGATAAAAAAGAAACTTTTTGTTTGATCATTCAATGTATATACAGTTATAAATTAAAAATAAGCCCCTATTGAAATGATCTACCGAAAAACTGTGTAACGCCTCCAGCTATAAGAATTCCATAAAACCTGAATTCTTATTTGCTTTATTATATATGTATATAAATAATTTTACTTACGCATTTTGTCAAATTCTTCTATTTTATTTTTGTTTGTTAATGGTCCAACGTACATTTCATAAATACTATGATCAAGCACCGGAATTTGACCATTAGATACAAGAGGCTCATTTTCTTTGTGTGTTGTTAAATTGTGTTCGAATTCGATAAACTCTAATTTCTTCGTACCGCTATTTTGTACATTAGTTAGCGTAACTGGAACGATAGTTGGAACTGAACTAGTACCAGCATCCGCTCTTTCCAATCTAGTCCCATCGCTGGCAAACAAACAAGAGAAATGTAACGATTCGGTTTCTAATAAGCCCCGAAACATTTTCGTTGGCGATAAGTTTTTCAACTTTATCTTCATATCACCAGTTGTTGTTAACACATCTTTAGGATCTAAATATTCTTTATTATGTACATAACTTGTTTGACAATCGTTTGGTGTAACAATTGTTTCCCCAGTGACCACAGAAGTATAGGTAATAGATGAATTGCTGGATTTCGCTGTAATTGGTGGATCCATATCGAATAAGTCCGGTTCTAGAGGAGTTCCGTACAGTCCAAATCGACTTCGAAGCAATAAGTGGTATGGGTTAGACCTCTTTTTAAATTCGTCCGCAATGTCAGTTAAAAGAGAAATGCATTTTCGCGATAAGACGTCGCATTGGTCTTGGGGGGCTATCTTGAATATTAACACAACTAACCATTGTAAGCTTCCAGCAGATTTTATTTGTTGCACCGAATTTAATATATTCAGTATTGCGTCAAAAACGTATTTATCAAAACGATCGCATATTACTGAATTTATGTTACGAGCACCACTAGAAAGAAATTTAATATTAATTTTAATAATTAATTCTTCTAAAACAGTTGTTACATCTCAATTTGGAGTTAATTAATAATTGATAATTTTAGGAATTACTATAAGAAAATAACAACCGTTTTTGAACAGAAGAAATAAACTTACTGGCTACAAGTTACAATAAGTTTTACGCATTTGTGCGCAATACTACGATCAACCAAAAGCACGCATTGCTTTAATAGTAGATCCAAACATCCTTCAATAATTCTAAGAATTTCATATTGGTAAGTAGGGGATTCAGTATGTTGACTCCTATTTCTAGTTAATCGAATTGACGCGATCCAATTTAAAATATCCAACGCAATCAATCGACTTTCTTCACATTTTCCAGTCGTTGTTTGAACAAGAGACTGTATAAACACGTTTGACTCCAGCATACTACTTCTTTGAGATCTTTCATGCGCAATTTCCGTATGTTTACTACTAAATACAGTAACGCTAAGTTCGTGGATGCAATCGCAACCCATATACTCCTTCCTATTAGACATTTTTTCTTCTCGCTTCGATTTAGCCGTTCTGGATTTACTTGCCTTTTCATCTCGAGCAATGTTAGTAACCGCTTTAATATGGAGTAATAACGTTCTATTTCGCGATTTGAATAATTTCGGGCTGGTTAAAGTGACGCAACCGGATTGCTCGCTTAAATCTAAGCACGAAGCCAAATCGATCGGTCCGGCTAAGATATCAGCGTTATGTGACCGAAGGTATTCTTGAGAAGTTACTGGGTTTTCGTTATTACGTAAAGCATCGAATGAAACTACTTCGTCAACTGCAAATCGCACATCCCTTCTATGTCCAATACCGCTGGTGTTTTGTCGCAATAATGTTACTTCAATGCTAGGATTAACAGTTCCGGGTTGTAACGAAAAGTAAACGTCAACATGACCGATTGAAACGGGTGATGGTAATGTAATTTCGAATATGTGTTCATCCCACGTTGTTGTGTCGTTTTGTAGTCTCCACGTTTTCGTGTACTGATCATTATCAAGTTGTAAGTGCTGTGGATGCCGCCTTTGGCGTTGACCTTGTTGCATGTCACTCCAACAAGGGGGCACCACAGCACAAAATCCTGGTTTGAACGGTTCGAAATAACACAACGATTGTAATCGTTTTAGTTCAACGATTCCAATAACTTCGGCAGGTTCATGAAAGCATCTGGTTAATTCGTCCATTTCGATAGGTTCTGGTTGTTGCGAGTGAAGACTAGGAAAATCAATGTTAGAACTGAATAAATCTTCTTCATCATGATCTTCGGTTGAGTCGGTGTCGGCGTCGTTTAACGCGTAAAAATGCAATGCCCCCTTAGCCGTAGAGGCACATAACCTTTCTATACTGTTACAATAGGCGGCTGAAATAATACTTTCGTTTTCTAACTGGGCTACGTAAATTGTTCTAAGGGTACATAATTCGATTATTCGTACGACACCATCCACACAAACTAAAATAACTGTTCCCTCAATAGTCGTTTCGGGAGTTTCTCCTGGACGTTCTAATTGATTCAGTAAACTAACTTCAATAGGTTTCTCATTAGGACTTAATTCACGTACTAATACTGGTTTTTTTGTTAATTTTACTATGTTATCATAAAAATCTAGCGCGTACAATAACAAAACGTTTGTTAACGTATTTGTGGTGCTTGTCAATATAACCAGAATATGTAAATCATCTTGTGTGGTAAACATATCTGTCACTTCTAAATCTGTTCTTCGTTTATATTCGTCAGGTATGCATACACATTGAACGCACCTCGGATAATTTAGCTGTTGCAATTCTTTATTATTCGCTACGTCTATTATGTGGTCCGATATAGTTTTTTCAACAATGTTACTAACATTTAAAGGTCCATTAGTCATAATGCTATAATCGGGCGAAACGAGAATCGAAGTCGCTTGAGCAGCATCCGTTTCCGTTTGCATTTCTATTGGGAGCACCCTTGGTCCTGAATGTTTTTGTGTAATCGTTTGTGGCAAGAATATTTCGTCGCTTTCCCCTGGTATTAAATTTTGATAGTTGTTTGGTTCTTTGTTCACAAAAATTCCGACGTCGTTCGTTTCCTCCAATTTAAGCCCCACGCCAAATGGAAATATGTAAGATTTATTAACATCTTCATTATCTATGTTTTGGTCGTATAATTTTTCGTAAGTGTTTTCTTTCTTGGTGTGCGTAAAGTCGTAAACAATCAAATAGAGTGAACTTATCGTTTTGTTGCTTTCCAATTCTTCTTCTACATCCATAATATTAATTGATGAGTTACTTTTATTTTGCTTGTTTAAAGCTTCAATAGGGGTACTCTTTCTTAAATGAGCCCCAGAACATTCAACTTTTAACGCCCCGATTACAGCAGGTTTTAGAGCTGACGTATTACATTTCGCGGATTGATCACTAACTATGGTTACTGCAGTAACTTTTCTCTTCATTGATCCTTTAACTGTAAGAAAAAAAAATTATTATTATTAGAGATTGTTGTAATTAAAAAAATTACCTTCTTCGGGATATTCAGCATATAAAAGTGGCAATTCAAAATCCTTAGTAAAATAATCAATGATATACGAGTCGTAAAGATTGACGAAAAACGAATAAACACGATGCACCTTTCCAGAAACATCCAGAATCGATATCAAAGCTTCTCTATTGGCCGTCGGTAATAAATGTGACAACCTGCTAGTTCCTATTACACTGACTGGAATACCTCGAAAACAAGCATCAAATGCTGGGTTTGTAGCGTACGTAACTGAAAGTGGAACGTTTTGGGTATACTCGCCCATTACAAATGGACAAGTGGGAGAATGTCTCTCGTGTTCGCTCCAAGGTTCATCCGTCCGTTCCCAACAAACTAAACATACTGAACAAGTAAAACACATTGCGCGATCGTCTCCCGATGAATTCGGTTGGTGATAGAATCCGGCTTGAGCCATTTGATCTGGTAATGCCCATCTAGTAGAAAATCAATAATTGTATGGGAAAATGAGGAAATTTCAAAATAAGATTTTGGGTAGATGACAGTTTACGTTATTGAAGTTTTTTGCAATATTATTTTCTATATTAACTCGTTGTTGCCTGAGAAAGAAATTCAAAAATACTTTTTTTTTTAATTCTCTAACATTGTTTAAATTTTCTATCGTTCTGTTCCGACCTAAATGGGGTGACCATTTAGTATCCAATACGGTTTGGGGTTCAAATGGGGTAACAACACGCGACAAGGTCTTCAGCAATCGTCGCATAGCCTTTGTAACTTTGTTTGTTAATATTTTTAAAAAATTATGCCGGATTTTATGTTTCTATGTGCTTTCGTTCTGTTTTCATCAACAGAAATAACGTGTTACCGAACTTTTGTCACACCCTGTAGAATATCTATCTGATAAAAAGCCTTTTACTAACAGTATACAATATAGGAAACACCTTAAAAGAAACGACAAACATTTTGTTATCATTTCTTGACTCTCTATAGTTTAATAAATTAAAAATAGTGTCGGTGCTTATAAGTACAGTGAGAGAACAATGGGTTAAAACAAAACCATGATACCATGTCGCGAATTTCTAATTAATTATGTATTCCTCTCCGCATATCAAAACTTTTGTATAAAATTCGTCATAATTGAGGACAACAACGCAAACTGTTATTTACCCAACATTTTGTTAAAATTTACTTGTAATCCATATGGGGCCAATGTGTGAACGTTTCTCTACGTATAGCCTCACTTGCCATGGCTCGACGATCAGTAGTTACGTTTGATTGTGCGCCCATCAAATCAGCGAGGCGTTCTTGAACGGCTGACGCAACTCCTAATTCTGGAACGTGTTGGTTCTTTAATAAAAGTTCTGTAACAGATGTGGATGCCGCGTCTCGAAGGATTCCCAAAGGAAGTTCCAAACATACTGTGTTCCACTAAAAATAAGATTAAATTTATTATTAAATCATTTTATTATCAAAGTAGCTGATTAAACATACAAATAAACTGTCAACATTTCAAAATTATTGTCACAAGATAACATGGCGGCTTCAAATTACAATGGATATTGCTTGGTTTATGGGGGTGTTGGAGCTTTAGGTAGCGGGTGTGTATCGCAATTTAAAGCGGCGAATTGGTGGGTTGTGTCTGTTGAAGTTTGGAAACCAACAGTGGTAAAAATATTTCTATATTGATTAATCTAATCTTTAATGCATATTAATGTCTCTATCCTTTCAGGAACCTGATGAAGGAGCAACATTAATTGTACTTCACAAACATAAAGATATTGTGAGCCAAACTGTAAACGTTGAAGCTGATGTCAACATTTTAATTGATACTTCCAAAAGCATACAAAACCAAGAAAGTGAATTACACGAAGCTATCGGTTCACTTCTTGACGGTAGTTTATTAGATGCGGTTGTTTGCGTTGCTGGAGGATATATTCAAGGAAATATAAACAGTGATTTCGTCGAAAGTTGCGAAAGAATGTGGGTGCAAAATATGTGGCCATCATTATTAGCAACACAAATAGCGTCAAAATATTTAAAAGCGGGAGGAATGCTTTGCTTAACTGGTTATAAAACGACTAAACCTGATCAAGAAATAATAACATATTCATTTAATTTTTTTATTTTAGGTGCTAAAGCTGCTTTAGCATCAACTCCGCATGCAATAGCCTATGGTTTTTGTAAATCAGCTATTCACCAATTCACAAAAAGTTTGGGTCATCCCGTAAGTGGATTGCCAAAGGATACTTTAACAGTATGTTTGTTGCCTGTAACTTTAGACACTGTTATGAACAGACAAATGATGCCAAACGCAGATGTATCGGGATGGACTCCAACCAAATATATAACAGAATTAGTTGTCAAATGGGCGCGAGGAGAAGACAGGCCAGCTAATGGTAGCCTAGTACAATTTGTTACTCAAAATTTTAATACGGATATTACTATCTTATAATCTAATCAATACCATGTTACTTTTTATTTCAACAATAATTACAATCTTTAAAACATTTAAATACACAATGTTTACATTTGTTATAAACGATCAAAATTAATTCAAGATGGTCCTTTTAACTTTGAGCAATTGAATATATAGAATATAAACACATTATGATTTAACCAATACAATAATGAGAATTTATAAATTAAAGAATTTGTTTTTTACATTAATAACCTATCATTAATGTACTGTAGAATCCATAATTTTTTATCAATTGAATTGTGATCAATAAAAGTCTGAAAGAATACCGGCCAAAAAAGGTTGTTTTATTACATATTTAATTATAAATGTGACCTGTCTTTATAAAAACCAGAAAAAAAATTATTTGTGATCACCATGACCTTAAAATTTAAGAAAGAACCTTGGAGAAGAATTCAGGAAAAACTTACAGAGACAACATTGCAGCTATGGAGGCTTCATGGAAATATAAGAGCCATGAAGACTCAACATGCCATCAAACCAATATTTCTATAGCTTAACATAAAACAAACTATATTGCAAAAAATGTCAGGATACTGTATGCTTCCGAAACTTTGGGCAGAAGTGAAAGAGAGGACATAGAAATGTCTGGTAAATTGTGTTAGAAACTGGAAAAACTAAAACATGTTATTAACGACTTAAGGCATGCCTTATTTTTCCGAGTCTAACATTATAAACTAGTGCAGGGAAACCATTAAAGGAAACCATAAATATCTCGCAAGAAGGCAAGGATGCGTATTATAATAGAATATGTGGGATGCCCCCTTACAAGCGCTGGCGAATGTCGGGTCATTGAGCCAGTTGCCTTGACATCCGAAGATATATAACCAATGAAGAATTATTTGTAAGTGGGAAAAGACAGTCTGATAGGATGGCAGCAACTGATGATTCAAGTGAAAAGTGTTAGTGGTGTGGTCTCGATATAAATTTCGGCAAAAATCAGACTCCTCCGTTGTTTCGTCTTTTCTGTCTTGCTACATTGAATAGAATCATAGATCTTGACCAAAACAACTATTAACAAAAGGGCAGCTTTGCAAATGTGGCTTTTTCGCAGAATTTTAAGAATTTCATGGTTATAACATGTATCTAATAAAGAAGTCTGTCGAAGAATGAGGAAAGACACCGAATTAATAATTACGATAAAGGTTCGCAAACTCCAATACCTCGGTAATATAATGGGGAACGAGAAAGTATATGATTTACTACAAAACATATTGCAGGGGAAGATTCATGAGAAACGTGGTCTGGACTGACGGAGAAATTCTTTGCTCAAGTATATTACGACGTGGTTGTGGTTTTCAACAACAATAACAGGACTATTCCGCGCAACAGTGAACAAAGTTGTGAAAGCGAGAATGATCGACAAGATCCGGACAGATAAGCATTATAAGAAATTGTTAGAAAAGATTTCCATTGATCGACCTAACATTAATTATATAAACCTGAAACTGCTTATCATATTATGGCGCATCGACCGCAAGTGGCCTCAGCTGTGAAATTGTTTATCTTTTGACTAATTAAGCTGAGATCTTGCAAGCGATCTTGCAGCTTAGTGATTAATGTTATATCAACGTAAAACTGAACATCATATTGTAATGCTTTGACTTTATGAGGTTAACAACTAACAGTGATTAGTATTATATCAACCTGAAATATTCATTGTACTGGTCTACTGAAAATCTTGAGCGGTTTACAAACGCAAAGAGAGTTGATAGACCCTTCTCAAAAAAATTTAAATCCCAAACATGATTTCTTAAATTTTTATCCCTAAAACATACGCATTAGGTTTTGGTAATAAAAATGCGATACTTTGTCCTAAAGTAGAGCTTTATGCTCAGCAATTTAAAAATAATGTGTAAATGGGATAATATAAATTTTATGAGGGTGTTTTGATTTTAAAATAAATCTGGCAATGGTATAGATGAATTTGGTAACATGTATCAAGAGTTTAAACAAATGTTAACTGTGCAAAAAGGATAGAACTTTACCTTGTATGAATTGAATGTGTTGTTCCTTTTCAATTTGTTTTGAATTACCATTATATACCAATTCAAGATTTTTTTGCAATTTTCACACAAATAGAGTTAAATAAAAAAGAATGTTCATGATTCATCTTGGGAAGACTGAACAATAAGTACTTCCCAAGTACTTTTGCACCGTTTGCAGTGAAGGGTTATTTACCAGAATAGATTACAAATGAAAATAACTCAGCTGCTTTATATCTTAATAAAAATGTATTAGACATACCTCTGATTAATATATAGCAATTGTATGTGAGTATCATACTCTCAATGTTTTATGTTAATTTTTCATTGTTGCATATTAATGTTCTGATGGACCTTCAACTCAAAGATGAAAGATAAAGATAAAAATATTTATCCATCAATAAGAAATAAAACCAATTTATATAAAATAGTAACTGTTCATTAGGCAAATCATGTTTATTCTTTGATCTCTTCCACTTTAGAAGCCACATGATCTAGAAAAAATCTTTTTACTATTAATAATGTAATATCAATTACATTATTAATAATAAAAAGATTTACGAAGAGAAGACATTTTAATTACTGAACATAAAGAATGCAAAAATAATAACTAAATGATCCCAAGTTAAAAGGACTACTGGGCTTTTAATGATTTAGTTGCTTAAAAACAGTTTGTTTAGATAATATATATATTTTAACTGTACCAATATTGTTAAATAAATAATTTATATTTCTATATTTAGCAAATATTGACGGTAAGCGATGAATATTAAATGACTTACTTTTTGCGCTTTGATTCCTTTTTTTGCTTTCTTTTGGGCCTTAGATATTTGATCAGTTAACTCATTTACAACATAATCAATAGACGAGGTACCAAAAACAGATAAGCTTTTTTTTAGAATTTGAGCCTAAAACAATGGATAATTTTTAGAAATATCAAATTTACAAAACATCTCCTACAAATGACTCACTTCTGATAATAATAACTCCAATTTAATGTCATCCTTAGAACTACCAACCGGTTTTTGTAATATCGTATCTAATAAAAGTACACCATTATAATCGGAACGAACACCAAGAGCTTGTCCATCGCAAAAAAGTACTCGATCTTGTCCCGGCACATACCTACACGTAACGTTATTTAGGTTCTTAGCTGTAAACAATCGTTGTCGGTTAGAAATGAAATCGTACAAGAAAATCAATTAATAAACAGCGTGTAATCAACGTTTACCTGACAAGTTACTGGTGTGAAGAACAACACCCGAGTTGACGTCAATAATGTGGACCTTCCCTGACTCGGAACAGACGATAATTACGTTCAGGGACGGGTGGTAGACGATTTTTCTTAAATCTGTGGCCGCGTTTAAGTAACCGTCCTCTTTTAACAAACACGGATCATCAGCCATTTTGCTAAACACATCTTGCGCCATTGAAAATCACCATTAGTAAAAATTTGGCAGTTGCCAACTGCAACTTCACATCGGTCAAGTGCTGCCAACACCACAAAAATTACAACGCCAAAAATCACTTCTATTTTTGAGTTTCAAATCTACATTTCAAAAACTTTAGTTTATTTGTACAAGTATTATAGTTTGCCTTACCCGCTATTTACGAGAATTATTTTAACACGGTTTGCTTATTTTTCTTCATCTACTTTATACTAAAATCTAAAAGCAACAGGATGTGGTTATAATTGAACTTTGTGACGACACACTTCATATGTACATACATACATATGTATACATATGTAATCATGTCTAAAATGATAAGATATTATCAAGAAAGGTACAATAGCAAATTAGCATATTATTTATGACTTTTTTTAGAGAAGTGCTAATAAAAGCAAATTAAGAAGGTGAATATGCATAGATAAAAAAGAATGACATACATAAAGCACTTACACAAAAACCACAAATTGGAAAAACCTCATAATTAATTTGGATACGATGCGATAGTTGGAGCTATTGCTGTTAAATGGCATCTACTTTAGCGACGAATTTTGGGATTTACCTGACTATGTACTTCTTCAGCCTTCATCGATGTATAATTATTTATAAATGTTTATAAAGGCGGCTCTAAATGAGTTTTCTTGTGGGTGCTGTTTTGGTTGTTATAGAAACCCACAAACACTGACTTAAAAATAATGCAGAAAAAATAAATAATGTAGTACATAATGTGCAAAACATTGTTTAAAGTTTTATATGAATACGTGTACTGAAGACCTGTCTCACACAATGCTTTCAATACTGTGAAACAATATTTTTTTGGAAAATGAATAGAGTCTAAAATATGTTAGTGCAACGCTTTTAGTGTGAAGTTTGAAAAATTTATGTAATCTCTAAGTTAACTCATAAACATATATTTAATTAAACTATAAAAAAAGATTTTTCCATATGATGCTAATTTTGTGATTGATGCAAAAAGAACCTATAGAAATATTTAAAACCACAATTAAAATATTTACAACCTTATTTCAATCACTTGGACAAATACCAAAGATTGGGTTGGGTTGTGACATGATTTTCTTGTACCCAACTCAAGCAATAACCTAATGACTCGTTTCTGTGCCACAAACACGCGATTCCACTTGGTCGCAGTACGCCATACCAGTATATTATAACAAATAGAGTAGCACACTGCATAATACATTTTTTAGTTACGGGATAGCATAATAAGCCGAATTCATTTTCTTGCACACCGCTTCTATGTGATTTTCAAATAATAGCCTGCAATCTCAGACCAGACCAGTGGCGTAACTAGAAAATATGGGCCCAGGCGCAAAATTTTGTAAATAGCCCCTGTCTTTATAACAAAGGTAGTAATACTATGTATACATATTATGGTATACAGAAAAAAAACACAAATTAAGTTGAAAATACTTATTTATTTTCAAATTTACTAACAAAAAACCAAGAACTAAGAACTAAATTATTACAAAAGTTGTTTTCTTCTAGATTTCATCGCTGCAAATATACTTATTAAATTTTTTAAATCCATTTTCTTAGCCTCACTGCTTTCAATTGCTAATATAGAAAGATCATTCAGCCGCGATTGTCCCATACTATTTCTTCTATAGTCCTTTATTATTTTTAACTTGCTAAATGATCTTTCTACAGAAGCAACTGTTACAGGGAGTGTGAAGAACAATATAAAAACAGAAAATACATCCGATATATCAGTTTCTAAGCAATTATATTTGGTCATTACTAAGTTAGCAAAATCTTTTACACTTTGCAATTCTTTTAACTTGTCTTTTAAAAGCGAATGAACATGAATAAATTGCAATGAAAATTGTTCAGTTAAAAAAGTTGAATACTTCTTTTGTAATTTTTCACATTCTTTTAAAATATCTTTGTCTTTTAACGTTGATAATCTTTGTGGATCCAGAAATCCAAAATAATTTCTTAATTTTTCCATGCTTTTAAATCTTTCATGTAGTTGATGTGAAATAGTATCTATGACAACATTAAATATTCCAACTCTAAACATATCTTCTCTTGAAGAAAAGTGATAATTTTTCGCCAATTCATCAAAATGGTGTTTCACTTTAGGCTGTCGTTTCTTTTGAAACTCAAGGGGAACATTCCAAGTTCTTGCAATTTCTGCAGCCTCACCTTTTATTTCAGTAAATTTTGATCTACTTTCTGAAACTTTATTATAAGCTTGGTTCAAAACAGTTTTGGCTTCATCTAAATCTAGAGAAGTCAATCTTCCAGACCATCGAGTNGTAAGCAACATAACATTTTCTATGTTGCAAATAAGAGGCCAGAAGTTGAATTGCTGAAGGAACAAATCCGAAAGAGCTCAATTTATACAAGAGAATTCTATGGTCAATCAGATCAAAGGCTTTGGATAGATCAGTGTATACAACATCCACCTGCCCACGTCTATCCAAGGTGCTACAGATAAACTCGGAAATCGTAGCCAAGTTGGTAACTGTAGAGCGACCGGAAACAAAACCATGCTGGGAAGCTGACACAAAGGGGCACGTGCTGGTGTACATAAAAGAATATAATAACTTTTCAAATAGTTTAGCAAAATTGGAAATTATCGAAATTGGTCTATAGTTTGAGAGGGACGTACGATCATCCTTTTTATAAACAGGCACAATTCTTGATCGTTTCCATCTTTCAGGAAATTCACAGGACGTAATGGACAAGTTAATAATAAATTTAAGAGGGCAAGCAAATATATAACGGCAATCTCTGACCATAAAACTTGGCAACAAATCATCTCCAGCAGTATGCTTATTAGAAAACGTTGCCATTAATTTAATTAGCTCCTCTTCTGTAGTGGGATGAAAAGAGTATGGCAACGGATTGAAATTAGATTCAGTGAAAGTTCGGTCAGTAGATACAGTGTGAACAGCAGAAAACATGTCAGCAAAAGCATTTACAATATCTTGAGGATCGGCAAGAACATTGCTCTCACTATCAATCAGATTACAGGGTATTCTTGTGGTACGTTTCTTAGCTCGGAGAAAATTCCATATACTTAACGGATCAGTCTTGATGGTATTTTGTATGTTGTTAAGATACTTAATGTAATTGTCGTTTATTTCATTTTTCAACAACCTCCTTAGTCGCTTTAATTTATTATAAAATACAATTTGACAAGATTAAGAAGATCCACGCTGAAACACATACAATGAACTGTGTCTATGTGAACATAATGTAGTTCTGCTGTGTACGTAAATACAATTTCGAGAGGCATGAATGGCAGAGTATGTGGGAGAACACTTCAAGTGAATATCTGTTCATGCCTACGTTGGTTTCACGTTTAACGGATCTAGTCCTCTAAAATACACAGATGCTGCTTACACTAATGTCTAGTAATACATAATGAATTGAGAGCATGTTTATCAAAATTTCAAGTCTAGGTATAAAATTTTTTAAAAAATTTGTTGAACATTTATTGAACTGTGACTGTCTTAAATAACTTTTTATCTCTTATTATCCGATATACAAATCTAATAAATTTATTGTGTTATTTATTAGATGCTGGTACGTGCTATCACGAGAATTTATACTAACCATATCATCAGCGATCAGTAGTCGATGGGAGAGAACAATCAGCGGTAAGTTATAATTAAATTATTTATCATTCATTTGAAAAACGAAAACGCACAAAAACTCATAAGAAAACCAAAATAAAACATTGTAAAGTGTTTACCTTGTTAAGTCACCGATTTTATTCATTTTTTTTGGTAATAAAGCAAGATAAAATGTGCAACTTGTTAACATCATTCATACCACTACCTCTTGATAGTTGAAATTTCTTTAGTCCTATGCTGGTTTCACGCTCTTATGTATGATAACATCACATAATCAAAAGATCCAATTTATTTTGCAAGCATTGGTACTTCTTGTTAGTCTAAAGTACACGGATGCTGCTTACTCCAATACTTAGAATACATAATGAATTGGGTGCATGTTTATCAAAATTTTAAGTTATGTATAAAATCAATATAAGTATAAAATCTGTTAAAAAATTGATTCAACATTGACGTGAATAACTGTGCCTGACTTAAATAACTTTTTATCTCTTATTATCTGATATGCAAATCTGCTAAATTTATTGTGTTATTTATTAGATGCAGCTACGTGCTATCACGAGAATTTATACTAACCATATAATCAGCGATCAGTAGTCGAGGGGAGAGATTAAAAGGGTTATAATAAATTTACGACGAATAACGAGTAACAATCAGCGGTAAGTTATAATTAAATTATTAATTATTCGTTTAAAAAACGAACGCGCATAAAAACTCATAAGAAACCCAAAATAAAACATCGTAAAGTGTTTACCCTTGTTGAATTAAATGTTTAATAAAATAAATCTCCAATTTTATTATCTTTAAGATTTTCCTGTTTTGACAATGACTGAGTACTGGTTAATATCAGCTCCTGGGGAGGAAACGTGCGAACAAACATGGGCAAAGATTAATAACTACACCAGCAAATTATCCCGTAACTATAAATTTCATATTCCAGATTTAAAGGTAAAAATTCACCGTTTTTTTTCCTAATTAATAATTTTGTCTATAAGGTTGGAACTTTGGACCAACTAGTTGGTTTATCAGATGATTTGGGTAAACTAGATAGTTTTACCGATCAAGTCACCAGAAAAGTTGTCAGTTATTTGAGCGAAGTTCTCGAAGATCGTAGTAACAGGCTTTATGAGAATTTAAAAGCCAATAATAGTATATTTGATAATTTATTTATATTGTATATCTTTAATTGAAATGATTTTTAACAGGTGACGTACCAACTTATATAACTAATTTTAAATGGGACGCTGCAAAGTACTCCATTAAGCAGTCATTACATAACATAGCCGATGTAATCAGTAAGCAAGTTGGTCAAATCGATGCTGATTTGAAAACGAAATCAACTGCGTACAATAATTTAAACGCATGTTTACAAAATCTAGAAAAAAAGCAAACGTAAGAAATATTCAAAATAGTTTTAATAATAGCATCATGTATACCTTTTTTTAGTGGTACTTTGTTGACACGTAATTTAGCAGATCTAGTTAAAAGAGAACACTTTATCTTGGACTCTGAGTACCTAATTACTTTGCTTGTTATTGTTCCAAAGGCTGCATACAAGGAATGGCAAAGTGGGTATGAAAAATTGACTGATATGGTTGTGCCCCGCTCTTCAATATTGATAACTCAAGACGCGACATATGGCTTATATTCTGTTTCGCTTTTCAAAAAGGTCGTCGAAGAATTCAAATTACACGCGAGAGAAAAAAAGTTTATCGTCAGGGATTTTACATATAACGAAAAAGAACTTGCCACTGGAAAAGACGAAACGACCAAACTTGTTACCGATAAAAAGCAGCAATTTGTAAGAAATGTTAATATGGATAGCAGTAACTTTAATTTGCGATTTTAGGGCCCGCTTGTTAGATGGCTAAAAGTGAATTTTAGCGAATGTTTCTGCGCTTGGATTCATATTAAAGCTCTTAGAGTTTTTGTTGAATCTGTATTGAGGTATCACTTTCACAACCAACTTTTTCGCTTTATTATTTTTCACCTTTAATTTTAGATATGGATTACCTATTAATTTTCAAGCAATTCTTTTACAACCCAACGATGCCCCTAAGCGGTTAAGGCAAGTTCTTAATAATCTTTATGGACATCTTGATGGTAGCGCTCTATTAGGTGCTTCTAATGCTGATGTAAATATTATTAACATTCCTTAAGTTTAATTAGTTAATATTCAAATTTATATTTTTGTATTGCAGAATATAGACATTCCTGGATTAAATTTTAATCAAGCTGATTATTATCCTTACGTTCACTATAAAATAGATGTCAGTTATGCTGTTCCAGCTCCAGAGAGGGTTTGTTACTTGTTTCTATTATTTTATTTCACCCAAAATGTAGAATCGAAACCTTTTTGCGTTTCGATTCTACAAATGCGTCAGTAAAATAGCGGATATAGGCGATAAAATTATTGTAAATGGTTTATGGAAAAATGCCAGAAACGGGACTATACTATTAATTTAACTACTACAGTAACTATGGTAATCAATTATTTCAAACAATTTCCTAAGTGTCAAAAAGTGATTTAGTAAGTAATTGAAGCTTGTTGAAGTGTGGTGGCGCGGCATCTTGTTGGAATTGAGTTGGGTCGACATTGTCGGGATGAGGCCGTTATGAAATGATATTGTTTTGCCATCACTCTTCAGTTGGGGTTTCCTCAAAAAAAGTTAGGGTCCAGGATAGTATCCCGTACTATTTCTGTGTGCGACTTTCTGGCCCAATCTGGATTTTGGGTAGCCCAATACCGACAATTTTGTCTAGTTACTTGTCCACTCCATGTAAACGTTCCCTCGTCGGAAAAAATTATGTTTTTGACGAAGCCTTCGTCATCATTGCAAAATTGTTGTTGCAAAAACGACGACTCATTGCTCATCATGAATGAGGTTTACTTTATAGGGATGATATTTTGCGGTTTTTAAAATTTTGTCAGCCGTTAATTTACTAATATCCAGATTCTATTTACTAAATCAGTTTTTGTCAGTTAAGAAATTGTTTAAAATAATTGGTTACCATAGTTACTCATGGTTACTGCTATTTTTATCATGTCCAGCAAATATGAAGTAGTTTAAACTTTAAAGTAAAAATATCGATGACGATTTTTTCATAAACCGTTTACATGATTTTATCGCCTATATCCGCTAATGGACGCACCACCGTATATTAATAATAAGAAATGTTATTTTATCTTAATTTGTTCCTTTGGTTTCAGGTCATCCTATATGAGTAGCATCAACTGAAACAATTTATCACAGTACTATACAAATCAAGTAACTATTACTTAAATAGCGATAAAAAATTAGTAAACAACTTACAAATTATACTAGAAACAGCGAAAAAAATCTTAAAAATTGGCCATAACGCACATCTTAATACCATGTGAGAACCACAAAGGTCGGGCATCGGTCAACGAATGAATCAAACAAGTTTTAAAAAAACACGTGTTTCACGTTAGTCTCCTCAAAGTTAAATAAGTGACCAGTATCTAAGCTGTGTTATGCTAAAGTATAACCTCTTCTTAAATATCTACCAACGTAACATTGGTTACGCGAACCACATGGTATCTGTTCTGTGTAGTACACAATAAATGACATTAGATTGATATTCAAATGCTGTTTCTAGTACAATTTGTAAGTTGTTTACCAATTTTTATAAAAATAGAAAATTGGCATGTGAAAAAAGAATTGCTGTTTCAATAGTCCTCAATCCTATCCTGAAAATTAAGTTTAACGTTACAATAAAAAGAGTTTATTGTAATCCGTTTATAAATAACTAACAAGGGAACAATCGCAAAAAAATATTTTCAGTATCGCTATCAAAAATGAAATACAGGACTTGTTTTATTCTTCCAAAACCCCTTAAACGGAGGGGTTGAAACCACATAATAATATCAACTGCATATTACAGAATAAGATAAATAATGTTTACATGGGACTTACAAGTAAAGAATGTTGGGTAAGATTAGTTTTGTTTACAAGAGTCAATAACTTCCTCATGAAGAATAATAGGTAAGGTTAATTTGGTCAATGGCTCTCAAGTAAAAAATGTTGGATCAACTCAGTTCTCATTCGCATGGCCAAAGACTTCTGGGTAAAGAATGATTATCAAGGTCAGTTTTGTTTACAAAAGTTAGTTTTGATAATTTTCCAGATGACTTTTGTTACATGTTATATTACAGACTACGTAAGACAACAGCGGGTGAGGGTGCGGTGAATCCTAGGTAGGGTTGTCCTACTTGTTTTGCCGTACTCAGGGTTCTTGTCTTATGGCTGGAATCACGACCGACACTGCTGTTTTTACTGCTCCTTCGCGAGGTGCCCCTGTACCACACCAAAAGTGACGGATCTAGACTTGCCAGTCGAAAAACAGGCCTCCCATCCGGTTGTCGTCGCGTGGCTTAGGGCTTGCACGGGAGAAAACGTGACCGGGGACGACTGATATAGTCGAAACGTTATACCATGCATGCCTATTGTTTGTGGACCTCTTCCACGGGCAGGGCATACGGGGAATCTTGGCTTAATTGCTTGGGTTGAGAGGAGACAGCCTCATTAAAAATCCCAAAGTGAATGTGGAACAGCCTATGCAGAGTACTTTAGGCTGTCGCCTGATGGTCTAGTCACCCGGGAAGTGATGGCTGCTAATAAGCGGACTCTGGAAACCTGACGACCTTCAGTTTCAATAGGTTTATCGGGGTACCCTACTCGTGGGATTTGTACGGAGACGCCTAGTAAGAATACTTGTGGCAGCCGGACCGTTCGCGTCCAAGTCAAGTTCTCCCTCACTGGAAGAGGAACAGGTTCTGCTCGAGATACTTTTCCGGAACGGATAATGATCTTCCCCCGGCCGATATGCGAGACATAATTGCCTAGAGCCGGAGGAATAACCTACAAGTGGTTGTTGGAAGCGACACCAATGCGCACCACACAATGTGGGCAAGTACCAACATAAATGAAAGAGGTGAGTTGCTTTTTGATTACCTATTAGGGGAGGGGCTTACTGTTAATAATGTAGGCGCGAAACCAACCTTTGTCACCAGAAATAAAGCAGAGGTACTTGACATTACGTTCGCCTCAATCATATTGAGCTCAAAGATAACTTCCTAGAGGGTATCCTCTGAACCGTCGTTTGCCGATCATAGACATATTCAATTTAAAATTGACCTAGGAATGAAATCGGACTGTATGTACCGTAATCCCCGTCGCACTAATTGCGATCTGTTTAAGAGTTGCCTTGTAGATAATCTTACTAGTGTCATTGCTACCATTAGAAACTGTGATCAGATTGAAATAGCCACGGAGCAGATCTCTGTGGCAGTTCACTGTGGTAGTCGTTCAGCCTACCACAGTAACAGTCCACTGAAGGTGAAAAGTAATAATCGGGGCACACCCTGGTGGAACGAATCTCTTAGCTCCGAAAGACAAAAGGTCCGGAGGCTTTTTAACCGAGTCAAAACATTAGGTGAATGGGAGCAATATAAACAAGCTCTAACGAATTACATCAAAAATATTCTTATTCTAAATATTATTTTTACCTACTACATACAGGATGTTCCTGTAAGTCGTGGCATAATTTTAATCACAAATACTAAAGTTATAATGATGATGATTCTTATAAAATATTTTAGTCTAAACCTATAAATGGCTAAGATATTGGCTTTCAAAGTTAAGAAATTTTTAAACATTTTCTTAAATATTTTCAATATGGTTTGTCTTAGAAAGATAAAATTTGGTAAACAATGCTATTTTATCATGAAAAATCGTTTAAGATCACTTTTGAAAATATGCAACCACGGGATCAATGCTATACAGAATGTTCACAAAGGTTATTTTCTTAAAACTTTTTTATTATGTCATAAACCCGTAAATTTTGCAACTGATTCTGAACGGCTATTTGATTTTAAAATTATTTTCACTCTTAGAAATTTTTATTTAGTCGCTTCGTTTTCATGTTATTTGCAAAAAGATACAACCTCGATTATGAATTGTTTTCATTAATCGTAGGTGTCTATAATAACAAATTGTAACTGGAGCAGTGCAGCAACTGTCAAATCATTACCACACATTCGTCAGTCGGTAATAGTTGTTTAATATGACAAATAATTACAGTTTTATTGAGCAAACTGACATGTTTTTAACGTTGAAAGAGTGTTTAGGCAGTGCTAACGCAGTGGTGAGATGATATTGCAAACAACTGAGAACAGCAATTGTAACCATACCACTTGTCGATAGTACAAGAATTAAAAATTGCTGATCATCTGTTGGGAGCACAGTTTTGCCATACTATGATGAAAAACTGCACTACTGATGCTGCGTGTTTAGAAAAAATACTTTTTATTGCTTCACTGCTTTACTTACGATTTGTTTTCATGGGCGCCTACGATTAATGACAGTATTTCATGGACGAGTTTGTATGTTTTTGTGAATAACTCTAAAACCATGCTTCTAATTTAGTAGAATTTCGCTAGAATTTCTAAAAGTGAAAATAATTTTAAAATGAAATAGGCTTTTAGAATCAGTTGGAAATTTTAAGGCTTTACGACATAATAAAAAAGTTTTAAGGAAATAACCTTTGTAGACACCTGTAATAGTATATTAAAAAACAAGTTTCGTAAGACACGCTTGAAATGCACGAGTTTTTTAATGAATGAGTGCTTTAAGTCTTATGAAACGTGTTTTTTATGCTATTTTTTGTAATTCGCGTTTTTATACTTTTTTTTAATAAAAATAAAGTAAATTTTGGTAATGTAGGGAAATAGGTATGTAGCAGTTGGTAACACCGGAACACTTGAAAATAGAAACTTTGAATTGACAATTAGAAACTGTCAAAACATAAAATATATTCACCTGAAAAAAATGTTTGACGTACACCTCCCAAAATAAGAGAAATTGCTCAGAGTCAATGTCCTCATCATTGTGGACTTTGCATTCGATGCTAAGAACGTGTTTAAACATCCATAGACAAAAATTGTCACATTGACAACTAGAAAAATTAATGACCCAATGTCACCAACTTAAACTGGTTCCATAAAATGTTACTAAAATCTCATTACAGTATCGGATGCTGTAAGGAGTCTCATTACAGCACCCGTTTGAGTACTGTTATAGCTTCCATTACCGTAGCGAATTACAAAAAGTAATCTTAAACGATTTCTCATGATAACATCGCATTGTTAGCCAAATTTTATCTTTCTAAGACAATAACCATATTGAAAATATTTAAGAAAATGTTTAAAAATGTTTTAACTTTGGAAGCCCATTTATGGGTTTAGACCAAAAATTTTTACACGAATCGTCATCATTTTAACTCTAATATTTGTGATTGAAATTATGCCACGACTTTTCTATATATTTTACATTTTAATATCAAATTATTAATGTATTTCTATTACATGACTTTTCGTATTTTTAATCTTAATTTTTTTAAATGCTTTTCTTTCTACGAATAGACTTATCATCACTTTTAACTATAAATACATAAAATTGTGGTAATATCATCTAATCCTTAAAATTAAACATCTATGTATGTACATACATATGTAACTCCTTTTCAAATTTATACCAATTCGTTTTCTTTGTAATCATCACTTTAACATAATGATTAATGCACCTCTTCACTACTTTAATGTAGCGAGAATGTGTGCAGTGGAATTGATGATAATATAGGATATTAATGGTAATTAAATTATTTAAGCAAATTTGTATGACACACGTGAATCAATTTTGACAGTTATCACAGACGTTTAACGTAAATTTTAGATTGACTAATCAAACCCTTTAACAAAAACACAATTTTCTTCATGATTGATAGAAAAAATATATTCAAAAACACTTACAGGAGCTTGCAGGATATCTACCAACAGTAATTAAGGTTATAACATTCGAAAAATAGGCCATAAGAAATCTAAGCAATGCCCATGTAAGTATTGAATTAATGTATTACTTATAACTAATTTCATAAACAATAACAAAAATATTAATTTGATGTTAACATTTCTTTTAAAGAGAAAAATATAAAATACCTACATAAAATTTGAATTTAAGTTTATCACCTTAAAGCGACATCTACCTAAAAAACGTGATCGGTAACGTTCGTATTACTTAATAGATGCCGCCAGTTGCTATCACGTGAATTTACACTAACGATCAGCTGTCGTGGGGAGTGGTTGTAGTAAAAGGGGTAGTTTTAATAAATTTACAACGGTTACCGGGCAACAATCGACGGTAAGTTATAATTAAATCGTTAATTATTGCTTTGAGAAATTGAACACGTATGAAAACTCATAGGAAAACCGAAATAAAACGTTCTAAAGTGTTCCAACACCCTAACACCTAACATCCCTACGTGTTTGGTGGTTAATTCTCAAATAAAGTTTTATAGGAAATTTAGTGCTAGTTTAATTTAGTAAAATTACATTCATTTTATTGAATTTTATTGTTATTAATACAGTTTTATATAATTAAATCTTTAAAGAATTTTATTTACGGGGATGATTTTAAGTAGGGATGGTTTTGGTTTCTCAAAATGTGCGGTTTTAAGGGATATATTGAGCGAAATTATTGAGATTTTAAGTTAAAATTACGAGCTTGTGATGGTCATATGATTCGTGTGGTTGGGTATACATAAGCTTTAATCTTTATGAAATATATTAAAAAGAAATAAGGTTTCTAGTTATACCCATAAATATTACTCCTATTTTTGATAAATTGTCTTAACTTTAGGATTGTTCCAGTTTCAACAATGACTGAGTACTGGTTAATATCAGCTCCTGGGGACAAAACGTGCCAACAAACATGGGAAACGATGAATAATCACACCAGCAAGCAGAACAATTTGTCCTGTAATTATAAATTTCACATTCCGGACTTGAAGGTAAAACTTTTGTGATGTTTTTCCGTTTTAATTATAAATTTATGTATTAGGTTGGAACTCTGGACCAATTAGTTGGTTTATCAGATGATTTGGGAAAACTAGATGGTTTTGTTGAGCAAGTCACCAGAAAAGTCGCCGCTTATCTAGGTGAAGTTCTCGAAGATCAACGGGACAAGCTTCACGAAAATTTGATGGCCAATAATAGTACGTTTAATAATTGATTTCCTTTTAGTTTGCATTTTGCAAGTTCTCTTTTTCATTTTTATTTCAACACTTAGCCAAATCTCTGCAATTTATTAAAACAAATTCATAGCTTCGTTTTAATTTATTTTTAAAATTCCCAAAAAGAATTGTTTAACCATAAATTAGACGTAAGACACAGAAAAGCGACAACCAGCAAATTGTTACTATCGCGCGTTCGAAGAGCTGCTTGGTTAATGTTCGGCTGCGGTTGCAACAAGTATTGGGTATTGAGAGGGGAAAGATGGCCGCCCGACGACAACGTCGACTCTCGCTTAAGCAGTTCTGAGGAACTCTTCGATTCTCCAAATGAAATATCCCTTGGTCCAGGTCAGTGGGTTCGAGAAATCTGTCCCACTGCCTGTTTACACGCCTAAAGAGCTGCAATGTCCATTGTGTTTAGACACGCACTAAGCACCTAAGCACTAAGAAATAAATTATTTCAACTAAAATTTGTATGGTTATGATGAATAAGGTTACATTTTTTGTTTAGATTTATATAATATATCACAAGGAAATGAAAAAAGATATATCATCAATTCAGGTAAGATGTTAATATAACAACGCTATGGGGTGATTTCCCTGCAAAACTGTTTTTGTGAGAACATGAAATGAATATATTGTTTAGGTATTAAAAGTATAGTAGCAACCGCGACATCGCTTATAAATCTTATGAATCAAGATATGGAGCTTATATGTCAAAGATATATAGGAGAGGTTAACCATGCGTTAATACCTCTTCAATAACAAGGTTTGTAAACAACACTTTCGAAATATGACTCCTATTATGAATCCTTTTTCCAAATAAAGCTTTGTTTTGGAATTGAACAAAGTAAAAACCTATAGCTATTATGTCATTGTCAATTAGCCTAGCTCCTAACATAGCTTCAACATCTAGATTTGATCCTCAACAGGTCCTTGACTTTGGCTACAGGCTTGTTAATTCTTGTATGACAGCAGTCGTAATAGTATATTAAAAAACAAGTTTCGTAAAGGGGCCTATCCACGGTCAAGCATGCTGTTCATGCCGTTTCTTACTTTCTCCGTACACTATCATGCAAGCTTGTCATTCATTCATTTAATCCGTATCGTCGAAGGTGGTAAGTACTGATTATCGGTACATCTATAATGAGTGATATAGCTTGCGCTTTAATAATAATCGACGAGTTAAGCCGTAAAAAGAGACGACATCCGGTGTTTCTTGATCCCTAAGATAGTGTAGTTAATCAAAATACCATAAAGACGGAGTGTAAATATTTTTCGATGCGGCCCCTGATTTTTCGCTCATCTTCACCTTTTTTAACTCACGTCGATAGTTGGGTCGGATGGTATTTATTTTTTTCTTTAAAGTGTCCATAGTTGCATTTTCATCTTTTTCCTGATATTTTTTTAATAAAATATCATATCCCTTCGACCGTTCGTTTTTATCCTTGTATTTTTCGCTTTTAACCTTCCACAGTTCCTCATGATCTCTAAATATTTCAAAAAATTCCATCCAAAAGGACTTCTCGCTTCCACAAGCCATGTTGAAAGTGATGTTTACCTCACAAAGGTTACAGATGGAATAACAAAATGCATAACAGCATAGCCATCCACGTGCACGCTTGCTTGCAAGCCGGATGCCCCGCCCACAGAAAATCAAAACGGTTTGAATTGTGTCATGCCAGGCTGTCATGCCGAGGACAGCGTCTCATGCAACCCCATCCACTGTCAATCTTGCATGACAGCTTGCGATGCTTGTCATGCATGCATGACCGTGGATAGGCCCCTTTAGACACGCTTGAAATGCACGAATTCAAGTAATGAATGAGTGCTTTAAGTCTTATGAAACGTGTTTTTTATGCTATTTTTTGTAATTCGCGTTTTTATCCTTTTTTTTAACAAAAATAAAATAAATTTTGACAATGTAGGGAAATAGGTATGCAGCAGTTGGTAACACCGTAACACTTGAAAAGAGAAATTTGAATTGACAATTAGAAACTGTCAAAACACAAAATATATTCACCTGAAAAAAATGTTTCATGTACACCTCCCAAAATAAGAGAAATTACTCAGTGTTCAATATCCTCATCATTGTGGACCTTGTATTCGATGCTAAGAACGTGTTTAAACATCCATAGACAAAAATTGTCACATTGACAACTAGAAAAATTAATGACCCAGTGTCACCAACTTGAACTGGTTCCATAACATGTTACTAAAATCTCATTACAGCATCGGATGCTGTAAGGAGTCTCATTACAGCACCCGTTTGAGTACTGTTAGAGCTTTCGTTACCGTCGCGAATTACAAAAACGTTTTTTTAAGTCTATCATTCCGTACACAGCTTTAAAAACTCCAGTACAATTGAAGTAGTTATTAGGTATTTTAATTTCAAACTACAGCAGAGCCCGTTCATTACATACCCGGGTTATAACATTCAATCGGATATAACTTATGTTTTTGCTTCAAACAATCAGACCTCGGTTATAAAAATGTTGAATTTGTTTTTTGAACATGAATTTATTCATTTGATTACCCATACCTACGATATTTTATTATAACATCGATCCCGTGAGGATACGTTATAATCGAAGTCTACTGTATATAGCGTTTTATCTCTTCCTCCATGGCCAGTTAACTGATGTGTTTCTCGAAGTATATGGTAAAAATTTTCCGTTGTACTGTTTTCCATAATAGTACTGTTTATACATTCGAATTTTTCTAGAAAAATTTGCTCCAGCGGACATTTGTTCAAAAAATCATAGAACACTTAATTTTTGAGATATCAATTTAGGATTCAGAACATACTTAAACAACATGATGGAGTATGTTTTGGTGCCGAGAACGGCTGTCTAGATCGTTTGGTCACTTTACTATGATACGTTAACTNAATGTCACCAACTTGAACTGGTTCCATAACATGTTACTAAAATCTCATTACAGCATCGGATGCTGTAAGGAGTCTCATTACAGCACCCGTTTGAGTACTGTTAGAGCTTTCGTTACCGTCGCGAATTACAAAAACGTTTTTTTAAGTCTATCATTCCGTACACAGCTTTAAAAACTCCAGTACAATTGAAGTAGTTATTAGGTATTTTAATTTCAAACTACAGCAGAGCCCGTTCATTACATACCCGGGTTATAACATTCAATCGGATATAACTTATGTTTTTGCTTCAAACAATCAGACCTCGGTTATAAAAATGTTGAATTTGTTTTTTGAACATGAATTTATTCATTTGATTACCCATACCTACGATATTTTATTATAACATCGATCCCGTGAGGATACGTTATAATCGAAGTCTACTGTATATAGCGTTTTATCTCTTCCTCCATGGCCAGTTAACTGATGTGTTTCTCGAAGTATATGGTAAAAATTTTCCGTTGTACTGTTTTCCATAATAGTACTGTTTATACATTNTAAATGCACATGTTACATTTTGGCCAAATTTTTGCAGTCGATGCAGCTTCTATTTTGCAAGTGTTTTTAAAGAAATTAATTTCGAACCCACCTATTCAATATCAAACACCCAGCAATTTATCGAACATGACTAAGGACATAAATTATCACAAGATCCTGGTATCTTTTGACATTGTAAATCTTTATGCTAGCGTTCCTATAGAGTTGACCCTGAAATTAATTAAAAAAATTGTTTCATCATTTATTCAAAATAATAATAAAACAGAGGACATTAACAACATATTGAAACATATAGTTGAACAAAACTATTGTTGTTAATAATGAATTTTAGGGTTTACCCATGGGCATGCCACTATCAGGGCTGCTTGCCAACATTTTTCTTGATCATATAGAAAAAACAAATATAATGAACGATTTTCTGCGTATGGGAAGGTGATATGGATACACTTAATGGATTTTTATCATACCTTAACAACATTCAGGAAAGTTTGAAGTTCACAATGGAGATTGAAAAGGATAAAACTCAAAATTTCCTTGATTTAAAACTTAGCCATGGTTATGAAAATGAACTGATTAATGCGCATCCAATCAACCAAAAGCTGGCCAATTTCAGGTTTTTAACTCAGAAAGCGATAACATACCCTCTATCGGAAAAAAATCGTAAAAAGGAATTTAAATACATCAAAGATTTAGCCTTTCAAAACGGATTCCCAATGAATATCATACAGAAACTCGTTAATAGACTGTTAAAGCAAAGAGACCCGTTATATGTAAAAATAGAGGAAGAACCACGGATTACTAAGCATATTTTTGAAAAGAATAACATCACTTTGGCATTCTCCAACAGAAACATTTGGGGTTAGCCGTCTTAAAAGATGCACGGCTAAACAAAAAAAAAGTAAAACTAATAAATACAGAACGTAACGACGTGGATAGCTGTTTGAATTTGTCTTCTTCTTTTTTCTCCACTCATGCTTAAAGCCTGTTCTTCGTCAATGATGCCTCTATTCTATGCGTAAATTGTCACTCCATCTTTTCCTTGGTCGTTCTGGACTTCGTTTACCTAGCGGCGATTTATCACTGGCTGTTTTTCTTTCTATGTATGTGTTACGGTTAAAGCATTCATTCCGTGAATGTACAGGGTGTCCAAATTTCGATGGGTTTGCAGGGTATCTCAGTTATTATGAAAGATAGAAAGTTGCAGCTTTCGTGAACCTGGGCTACTTTTTTGTGAAACTTACAATGGCATAAACCAAATTTTCATAGCCCTCTTAGTTTTTGATATACAGGGAGTGTTTCAAATTTACGATTTTCAGACACCTCCTGTACCTCGGCTATCGGGAAACTTTGTAAAAAAGTAAAAACGGGTTCTGATAGATTTTTTCACGTGGAACCCAATGGTGCACGTGGAATTTTTCTAGTCATCACGGTTTTTGAGTTATAAACACAACTGAAATACTGAATACTCAACTTCTAAAATACTTAACTCTTTATAACTNCCAAAAATTGAGTGTTTTCTGATTTTTTGAACAAATGTCTGCTGGAGCAGATTTTTCTAGAAAAATTCGAATAACTCGAGAACGACCGAATCAAATTGCAAAAAGTAAAGTTATTTATAAACCTTGAAAACAGACAAATCCAAATATGTAAAAATATACAGGGTGTTCCATTTAAAAAAATAAAGTTGGTGGCGACTTCCGGTATAACCGGAAGTGCTAGAAATCTGAAAATATTTTAGACGAAGAGATCGTAATTGATAATACTTAAGTCTGAATTCTCAAATTTTTATTTTCGCCAGAACCCCAGAAACGTCTAATGACCGGTCTCGCTGAGACACCCCCTGTATGTCCATTGCAGTTTACATGGTGGTCAATTTACGAGTCCACAAAGGCTTTACTTCTTACGTCACTTGTTCAAAAACGTCCTGATAGTTTTATTAACTAAACTCATTTTTCTACGGTAACCTTCCTCGTGTAATGTTTGTGCACTGGTCGGCACGATCGCCAGAGGGGAACGGTGAGGTACACGTGTTTATTTCATCTTTTCACTAACCAATTTAGAGATTTTATCAAATCACTTATTTTTTTCAGGAAATACACTCCATAGAGTTGTTATTTTAACATCTTCCGTGAATTGATCATATATCTTAGGGATTTAATCGAATCCCAATTTTCATCATTTTTCTGCGACATATATATATATATATATATATTTATTGCAAAGCAATTAATTAATAGTTTAATTAAAATAATTTTTAATAGGTGACTTGCCAAGTTACATAACTCGTTTTCAATGGGATGTTGCAAAGTACCCCATTAAGCAATCGTTACGTAACATTGCTGATATAATCAGTAAGCAAGTTGGTCAAATTGATGCCGATTTGAAAACGAAATCAACTGCGTACAACAATTTGAAAGGAAGTTTACAAAATCTTGAAAAGAAACAAACGTAAGAAATCTTTTAAATAACTTTATTACATATCAAAAATATATTAATGTAATTTTTTAGTGGTAGCTTGTTGACTCGTAACTTAGCCGATCTTGTTAAAAGAGAACACTTCATCTTGGACTCCGAATACCTAACAACTTTACTCGTCATAGTTCCAAAGGCGGCTTTTAACGAATGGCAAGCTGTTTATGAAAAATTAACCGACATGGTCGTACCTCGTTCTTCAACTTTGATTACTCAGGATGCGGAATACGGTTTATATTCGGTTTCGCTTTTCAAGAAGGTCGTTGAAGAATTCAAATTACACGCCAGGGAGAAAAAGTTTATCGTCAGGGATTTTACTTACAACGAAGAGGAATTAGCCGCCGGAAAAAACGAAATTACCAAACTTGTCACTGATAAAAAGAAGCAATTTGTAAGAAATCTTTTTTAAAAACTGAATAAAAACGTTAATGATTTTAATTAACCGTTTTAGGGTCCTCTTGTTAGGTGGTTAAAAGTGAATTTCAGCGAATGTTTCTGCGCTTGGATTCATGTTAAAGCTCTTAGAGTTTTCGTCGAATCTGTGTTGAGGTATCACTACGTTCACAACCAATTTTTCCAAATTATTATGTTTATAATTCTTTTTAGATACGGATTACCCGTTAATTTTCAAGCAATCCTTTTACAACCCACCAAGAAAACTGCTAAGCGATTAAGAGAAGTTCTTAATCATCTCTACGGACATCTTGACAGCAGTGCTCTACAAGGTTCATCTAGTGCTGATGTAAATACATATTATTAAATTTCTTTAATTTTAATTTGTTAATTGAAATTAATTTTTTACTTTTAGAATGTAGACATTCCTGGATTAGGTTTCGGCCAATCAGAATATTATCCCTACGTTTACTATAAAATAAATATCGACATGATTGATGCAAAAGTCTAGTGTCGCATCTTAGTCTTCAATACGTAATTAAAAACAAGATAATAAGAAAGAAACAAGATGTCAACTGCGCTGTTATTAATTATTCCAGCACAAAATAAGGTGCACTACTAGTTTCTTTTATTTTGTTTCTCCCAAAATGTTATATATATATACTTATATACATTCTTTAGGTAAATAATCGTTCACCCTTATATTGTATAGTTTGAAAACTTTTTAGAACCTTTCTTTTAAAAACGGTAATTTTTTAGAAACCCGTTTATTAAGTTAGCGTGCAATACTCTCAAATTAATATACATATTTAAAAATAAATAGACACAGAAGGAAACCACGTGTAAATAAATAGGCGACAATACCGTTTTATTTTATTTTTTTCTTTGTGTAAGAGTCCGTATTCTTTTTGCCTTGTCGAGAACAGTATTCAAAGTTCATTTGTAAATATAAAACATTGTAATATTTAATGTATATAAAGAGAAAAGAAAATACATACAATTTGCTAAGGCAAAAGCGAAATTTAATTAATTCGATATAATTGAAATTGTCCTATTTCTTTGTGTATTATAGATTTAAAAGGTGAAAATATATTGTTAATACAAATAGGAAATATTGAAAAAATGATATTTTAAAAGTTACAATAAATGGTGTTGATCGGTTTAGATATATTTGTGTAGATGAGCTTAAATAAAATAATAAAAATTGTGTTGAAATTATTTTTATAGTTTAATTTTTATAAACCTAAGTATATGAAGGCCTGTATACGTATCTTCAGCAAATGAATATTCGTCTTAACGTACAAGTGCGAGGTGTCAACAACAGAAAATGTCATACACAGTGTTGAAAAAAGAGGTGTGAGATGGTTTCGTCATCTGCACATATACCATAACAAATGCACATTATTATTATTATTATTTATTTGCCCAAAAAGAAATATACATATAAAGTATATACATATCATATATATATATATAGGGTACAGCATAGCTGATTACTAGAAAACCAAAAATAAAAATAAATACATACATATCAAAGTAATAACCAACAAAATAAAAATAATTAAACTTAACATTTTGATTCTTGTTCCTCAAGAAGCCTGCGCTTCAAGGTGCATTTAAAAGATCTATTAGATTTCAACTGAAAAACATCTGAAAAGCAATTATAAATTGTAGGTGCTCTGTACGCAAAGCTACCACAAAATTTAGCAGATTTATGTTTGGGAATCGTCAACAACTTCGTTTGTCTTAGATTAACATTATGTATTTGCGATCTTGGTACTAAGATACAATATAAATAATAAGGCAATTTGTAAAATATTACATTGTATAACATAACAGCTAGCAAGAGTGTACATCTAGGTTCCATTTTTAAGATAGAATATCTTATGTAATAGGGGGTAACATGTTCTCTACGATCAATCGAGTATGAAAACCTAAGTCCGCTGTTCTGAAGTATTTGAATACGATTTTTTAAAGTAGCTGATAGAAAATTGTAGTAAACGTTACTACAGTAATCAAGTTGACTTAGAATTAAGGAGTTAACAAGTCTCCATTTCAATTGTGGTGACAACAATGACTTAAATTTATATAACGATTTTAACTTATAGTAGCACACACCAATTTTCTTATTTACATGTTCCGCAAAATTAAGATTACTGTCGACAGTAAGACCTAAGTTGTTGGTCGATTCAGAGAACGCTAAGACAGTTCCATTGAGGTGTATAGGAACCGATAAATTATCGATTGCTCTTCTGCGAATGTTGGCCGACCCGACACACATACATATAGTTTTTTTCGCGTTAAGAATTAACCCGTTAACAGAACACCACTCACAAATATTCTTTAAATCAGAGTTAAGCAAGCGCACCGTGTCATCAACACTGATAATATCACAAGAGATGTAAATCTGCGCATCATCCGCGTATTGATGAACCGAACAGCTCGTCACTACATTTGGCATGTCTGCCGTAAATAAGTTGAATAATATAGGACCCAAAACACTTCCCTGTGGAACACCTTGCTTGACTAGGATACCGCTAGATATATTACCATTAATCTTTGTATGTTGAGATCTGTTCACAAGATATGACTGGAACCAATGTACAACGTCTTCTTTACATCCATAACGGACTAGCTTGGCTATTAGAAGCTGATGATTGATGATATCAAAAGCCTTACTAAAGTCCAGGAATACAACGAAGGTAACTCTTGAGGCATCAATGGCACAGCACCAATCGTTCACAATTTTAGTTAACGCGGTCGTTGTGCTATACTTCTCCCGAAATCCAGATTGGCATCGTGGGAGTAAATTAGTATGATTCAGGTGATGTACTAGCTGTGAAGCAACAATCTTCTCTAATATTTTAGATAAGATAGGTAACACACTAATCGGTCGTAGGTCTCCTAGTGACGTAGCATGGCTCACTTTAGGTAGAGGTGTTACTAGAGCGATCTTCCATTGTTTCGGATAAACTCCGTATATTAGTGAGAAGTTCATTATGTGAGTGATTTCTTGGAGGCAGTACTCCAATACAAGTTTTATCATTTTCAGATCGATTGCATCCAAACCACAAGCATTTGATTTTATCGTGCTAAGCTTATTTTTGATGTCTGTGTCGTTCACCACATCGAAACCAAAACAGTCGTTGCCACCCAAAATATATGGTTTATTAGAATCAAGGTTGTGCAACGACAAAAAAGGTGAAGGAATAATATTAGCGAAATAATCATTTATTAGCTCTGGATCTTTAAGTGATTCGTCGATTGTCTTGGTGTTCTTTGAGTGCACCTGATTGGTGTGCAGTAAGTGCCACAATTTTGAGGGATTATTGACGTTACTATTTATCTCTGCCTCAAAAAAAGCTTTCTTTTCGTTACGTATTGCCAAAGTGACATAGTTTCTGATATCGGTATAGTACCTTCTGTGGTTGCTACTACCAGTACGCGAAAACTTTTGGTAAGCTTTTTGCTTTAATTCACCAAAAAGGAAAAAGAGGTCATCCTCCATGAACATGGATGACCTCTGGAACACCTATGGTACTGAACATGTATTACCATTTTTAATAAATTCAAATTCGGAGGTCCGTTATACTTTAAAAATATTCAAGACTTACCAAATAACAACTATACTATTAAATAAAATAACAATGTCTTCTGTTTGTACTTTTATTGAAAAATGGATTATTTGTTTTCAATTCTACCGGTTTCGGTTCAATAGTAGAACCATCCTCAGGACTAAATATGATGAATATGTATCACATATTCCTGTCAAACTAACTTTGAACTTAATAGCTAATACCCTACAAGTAAAAAACACAAGTTCTTGTGAATTGAAGAAAATTTTTTAACATGTTAACTATCGCAAGAGACTTAAAAATAAACTGACGAAATTCGAGGGTCCTGAGGATGGTTCTACTATTGAACCGAAACCGGTAGAATTGAAAACAAATAATCCATTTTTCAATAAAAGTACAAACAGAAGACATTGTTATTTTATTTAATGCTTTAAAATGGAAAGAAATAACGAATACAACAATAACTATACTATTGTTAATAGCTAAGAAAATGTTGAAAAAATTTTATTCATTTATTTTATTAATTGTTTCATGTATCCACATTATGTGTTTTCTTATGATTATTCAAATACCTTAATTGATTAAAACTAGCACCACAAACATCACAACGACACACATCCAATCGATCGTGTAATTTAACATGTTTCTTCAACGTATTCTTCAATCGAAAACTTTTCCCGCACAATTCACAATTGTAAGCTTTCAACCCGGTATGAAGAGTCATATGAACTTTTAATTCACAATTTCTTCTGTACTTTTTAGCGCATATCTCACATTTAAACCGAAAATTAGTATTACTATGATACAACTTGTGCACCCGAAGCGAAGATTCCTGCCGAAAACTTTTTTCGCAAACATCGCAAACGAAAGGGCGGGTATTCGTGTGAATATTCATGTGTTGAGTTAAAGTGACCTTAGCTCGAAATTCTCCGTTACATATTTTACAAACGTACCGCTTTGCCGTGTGAGTTTCGTCGTGGTGTCGTTTCAATCCACTTTTCGTGCTATATCTTCTTCCACAAACGTCGCAAGTGTGGGGTTTTGGCCCGTTGCTGTGTTTAAGTTTGTGGCGTGTTAAATTGTATCCGTGTTCGTAACGGTTCTCGCATAAGTCGCATTGATAAAAAGCTTTATCGTTTATCATCACTTTGAATTTCGTTAAATCAGCTCTTTTATTCTTCTTATTCGAGTTAGTTGTTTCCGATTTATTTGTTGAATGTTTATGTAGCATATGTTTCTTTAAATCGAATTTTCGAAGGTATTTGTTTTTGCATAATTCGCAATTAAAAGCTAGTTTTGTGGTAGTTGTGGATGATTGAATACTTGAATCACTTTGTGTTGATGGAGTTTGATCATTTTGATTTGAAATGGATGTTTCTACTTGTGTAGAACCGGTTGAAGCTTCCAGCTGATTTAAAACGGTTAATTCAGTTTTACTCCATGATAGAGAAGTATGTTTATGTTCCGTTGTCTCTTTACTGTAACAACACAAAATAAAACGATAATGGTAAAATGATTATTAAACAACGCTTATGTTAACATCAATTAACCCATTTACATCGTAAGCCCAGACATGTGCGGATTTTAACTGGCCATTATCACCGAAAAGTTCATATCCGCGCTAGCTACAACACATACATAGGCTTTCAATAGGGAGCGAATAGATAACAGAATAACAGCTATAACTCTCGCCGTCTTGAGGGACGCACGGCTAAACCTGAATGTTTCTAGTTCTAGGTCTAGTGTTTGTTCTACTTTTCCTTCAATAAAAACATACAACATCCTAACACTGAATAACAACTAAAATCAGAACTAACACTAGCACCATCACTAGACTTAGAAACATTCGAGTTTAGCCGTGCGTCTCTTAAGACGACTAAACCCGAATGTTTCTAGTTCTAGGGTTAGTTCTAGTTTTAGTTCAATAAGAATACATACAGTGAATTTCACTTAAGATACAATATACAAAAATATATTTCCATAGAAATCAGGGCATCAATATAATTGCACATTACAATAAAACCTCGATATAACAGATCAATACGGGGAACGCAGTGTCCGTTATAGCTCAATAAAAATATACAACAATCTAGCGCGGAATAACAATAAAACTAGACTAACACCAGCGCTAAACCGTGCATCTAGAAACATACCGCTTTAGACGTCTTAACAGACGCATAGCTAAATCAGAATGTTTCTAGTAACCAAAATATCCAGGAAAGGTAACTATTTAAAAGGTAACGGTATCGAATGCCATTCTTCCATATTTTCGATTTAGACAACGCAAACATCAAAGCCGACTTTTTAACTCAGCTCGTTTTGGCCGTTCTTGACGTACATGTTCCCCTTAAATTAATCAAGAAGTCACGTACCCCGTGCCCGTGGATCACAGATACAATAAAGCATATGCAAAAACTGCGCGACAAGGCGTACAATAACTACCGTAATAACAGATCAGAAGCGAAATGGGAATATTACAAATCGGCACGTAATTTAGTTAATACCTCGATTATTCATGAGCGCAGGGCATATTTTGAGTCGCAATTGAACATCACAAATGATTGTTGGAAAGCACTGCGAAATACGGGAATATTTAAAAGAAAAAACATGTCAGTTCTACCTCACCTTGGGTCACCCAATGATATCAATAATTACTTTATTGCAGCGGTATCGGGGGGAGGTGTTCCTGACTTAGAACTGGTCAACTTTTATAATTCCAACAAACGGAATAACTTGTCTTTTGGCTTTCGCGTGGTGGAGGATATGGATGTGGAGCGTGCAATTAATTCAATTAAGAGCAATGCGCTTGGTCATGATCGTCTCAATATGAAATGCTTAAAATTGTGCTGTCCACATATATTACCTTATATTCGCGATACTATAAATGCGTGCATCGAAACATGTGTTTTTCCAATGACATGGAAGAAAGCCGTAATAAAACCGCTTTCCAAAATCTCTAAACCTACGGTACTTAGCGACCTGAGACCCATTAGTATTCTGCCAGTATTAGCAAAGGTTGCAGAAAAAATTCTTTATGAACAAATGGTCTCCTTTGTGGAGGAGAATGACATACTACCACAGAACCAATCGGGTTTCAGACGGGGTTACAGTTGCACGACAGCATTGATACATATCATTGATGATATAATTCGCGAAACCGATAGAGGTAATTTAACAGTTCTTTGCCTACTAGATTATTCAAAGGCGTTCGATACGGTCAATCATGAGACAATGGCATCAATTTTGAGGTATTCCGGTTTTGATGATAAGTCTACCCGCTTATTATATGATTTTCTAACACATAGACAACAAGCCGTATTTATGGGTGATGAACAATCTGAATATCAATACACTAGTTCGGGCGTTCCTCAGGGTTCTATACTCTCGCCTTTGCTTTATGCTTTATATACATCAAACTTTAACCAAGGGGTTATGCATTGCAAGACCCATTTTTACGCCGACGACACGCAAATATACTATTCTTTTCCGGCTCATGATATAAAACAGGCTTGTGTGCGAATTAATAGTGATCTAGAATATTTGCGTATCACCTCAAGCCGACATGGACTTAAAATTAATCAGAAAAAATCAAACGTTATTATGTTTGGTCCTCAGAAACAAAAACAAAAAGTCATTAATGACTTACAAATTTGTGTAAATAACGAATTACTACCTATTCAAAAAACAGTAAAAAACTTAGGCATTTTAATCGATGAGGGCCTTACTTTTAATGAACACGTCAATAAATGCGTTCAAAGAGCTTACAGTAGCCTTAGAATTATTTATACTAACAGAGCCTTTGTTAATCATAGTGCAAAAGTGCGCCTATGCGAAAGTTTAGTACTATCAATGTTTAATTATGGCGATGCATTGTATGCACCCTTTCTGTCCTATGCATTGAAGAGGAAAATTCAAAAGGTACAAAACACCTGTATCAGACTAATTTTTGGGTTGAAACGCAGAGATCACGTCAGCTGTAAGCTGCCGGTTTTAAAGTGGTTGAACATGCAGGGGAGAAGAATGTTGCATGCTGTAGGTTTTTACCATAAATTACTCACTCTACATAAACCAGCGTATCTTGTAAAAAAGTTGTCTTTTCGGGGTGACGTGCACTCGGTTAATGTGAGGTTTAAGGGAAGGCTATCTCCACCAATATTCCACACTATGAGTTTTAAAAAATGCTTCTCATACCAGATATGCAAAGTAATTAATGAGCTCCCTTCTGGTTGCGCATTGACAGAGTGTGGGTCTGCCGCCACCGCCAGGAGGCGCTATGCTGATTTTCTGTTTGGGCAGCAGTGTTCGCAATACCTGTAAATCTCTTAATAGTCACAGATCTTGCTTTTGCGTTTGAATGTTTTTGTAATCTTTTTGTTCTACCTAAATTTGTTCTTAATTTCTGGGGAACCCTTTTGAGTACTGACATGGTATCGATAACGACTTGTTGTGGCCTTTGGTAGTATTCACCTAAGTATTATATGTTAAAACTTAGTAGTTAAAACTCTTGTTTTGTTTATAGCTTTATACCGTTGTCGCGATTCTTTTTTTTTATATTTAACACGCTATACTGTTTTTTTTTCTCTTTATATACTTTATGGTGAGGTGGAAGAACAATATATATTGAATCTCACCATAAGATTGATCAGTTGTTTATTGGAAACCATTTTTAGTTGTTTATTCTGAAGTGTAGTACATTGTGATCAATAAATATTATTATTATTATTTAGCAGCTTCCGTTTCTACGGACTTTTCCTTAACGCTTCTTCTTCAATCAACGCTATGTAGACATTAACTTTTATCGGTAACAAATGCGATCCCATTCCTGCCCCTTCGCATTGCTCGTAGAATTTTTCCTTTTAGCTAAAATTTGTCGATAGTAAACAGTACACCACTAGCCCTGGAATATAGGTACTTGGGCAAACCCATGGGATGAGTTTTTGGCGAAGACCATCCACGGCATCTTTGGCTGGTACTTTGGTAAATGAAGGTTCCTGGGGATCTAACGTTATACTTTTAAATGGTTTCACAAAATGTGTAGAATTTGTGACATATAATTTTGTTTTACTTGTAAAAGGAGAAAGAATGTTAGCCATGAGCTCAACCAACTGGTTTATGGATTATAGGTAACCATAAATTATTGGTGGTAGTGAAACTTGTATAAATAAACTTTTCTGTTGTTTTGCTGTAATGTCTGGCTGGATCCAAAAGGCTCAACATAATTTAAGTTTGGTAATATCATTCAGAAGAATAGTTTCTACTTCACTCCACGGTGATACGATACGCTTCAGGCCGGGAGGTGGCTGCCCGCAGGGAGGGGTGTTATCTCCCCTGCTTTGGTCCCTCCTAGTTGACGATCTGATTGCGATAGTCGAAGCCGTTGGTGTGGAAATACAAGCTTATGCTGATGACATTGTCGTTATGGTCAAAGGAACCTGTTTGCCGAGGATATCTAAAGTCCTCCAGGTGACCCTAGATACCATTTGCGCTTGGTGTAAGGGAGAGAACCTCTCAATAAACCCGCAAAAGACAATTGTTGTGCCCTTCACCAGGAAGCGAAAGTTGGATGGACTAATCCGCCCAACTATCCAAGGTGAAGAAATTCCTTTCTCAAAGGAAGTCAAATATCTAGGAGTAATCCTAGACAAAACCCTGTCATGGAATGGACATTTGCAGGGAGTTTTGCACAAAGCTAGACTATCCTTGTGGACTTGTCGCAGTCTTTGTGGAAAAAATTGGGGTCTTACCCCTGAAAGACTGTACTGGCTCTATGTGACTGTGGTTAGACCTATGATCACATACGGAGCAGCAGCCTGGTATAGGAAAGTCCGACAGACTTCAGTTATCAGTAAACTTTCACGAATTCAACGAGTAGCTGGATTGGCAATCTCTGGTGCGATAGGCACAACGCCAACTCTAGCAATGGAGGTTCTGCTTGGCCTATCTCCTCTGCATTTGCATATAGAGAAAGTGGCTAGAACAACCATTTACAGATTTAAGCAATATGCTCAAAACTGTTCCGACATGTCCTACCAATGGGCTGCGGAAGACATTATAAGCACTGATACTGTGCTATCAATGCCGTCAGATTTGGCGGTATCACTATCAGTGATTAATGCTCGATACCAGATTGTACTGCCTGAGCGGCAGTCCTGGATCGAAAATGAAAATTCTCTGGTTCGGGCAGACATTTGCTTGTACACAGATGGATCAAAAACGCCTGAAGGGGTAGGAGCAGGAGTATACTGCCAGACACCTCGAATTAAGCAAGCCTACAGCCTGGGTACGTACTGTACTGTATTCCAGGCGGAAGTATTTGCTATTGACATGGGTGCTAAAATCCTTCTTGAAAGAGGGGTGAAGAACATGACAGTACGAATTTTCTCAGACAGTCAAGCCGCTCTCCAGGCGCTGCAAGCCGTGAAAACGGTGTCGGCTCTGGTTAATGATTGTAAGAGAACATTAAACACACTGAGTTGTGATAACAGAGTCTCTCTGATCTGGGTCCCGGGTCACTCTGGGGTTGCTGGCAATGAAGCGGCAGATAAGCTAGCACGAGATGGCAGCGCTGAAGCGTTTGTGGGACCGGAACCAGCAGTTGGTGTATCATTTGCGATGGCCAAATATAGGATTGGACTGTGGGCTGAAGAGAGACTTCGCCTACTGTGGACCAGTTCTCCTGGAATGAGACATGCTAAGGTGTTTATTAACATCGCCACTGTCAAACCCGGGAATATTTTAGGACTTGCCCGTAGTAGCATAAAAGTTCTAATGGGTGTTTTTACTGGGCACTGCCGATTAAAAGCACACCTCAACTTGTTGGGTTTAGCCGACGATGTTGAATGCCGACTATGTGCGGAGGAAGCAGAGACGGTTGAGCATGTTTTATGCCACTGCCCTGCCGTTAACCGTATCAGATTCTCGATTTTTGGGTCGCAGTTTATCTCCTCAAAAGATCTGAATGACCTTTCGCCGAGCAAGGTATTAATGTTCGTTAAGAGCATTGGACTGCACGGTGAAATTTGATAACGATATCTATCGGGGTACAATAGATCCTTAGGGTCGCGGTGCAAGGTTGGGTGGTCCGCCTACCCGATATGTATTCTATGTAATGTAATGTAATCATTCAGAAGAATTTCTTCATTTCTTCTGAATGATGCAAATGGGTTAATAGAACACATTTACTTTTAAATCAATTAATAATTATATTTATGTATTAAGGAGACAAAAAAAATGAAAACACTTAAAAACCTAGGATATATTTACATAAATGTCTTAAAAAGAGCTTAAATTATTAATAATATTATTGCACATTTACACGATTATGATTAGTTTTCGTATGATTCCTCAAATAGCGTTTCTGTCGAAAACTAAGTCCACACTCCCCACAAACAAACGGTTTCTCATCGGAATGCACCAACATATGTCGTTTTAGCTCGTATTTAACCCGAAAACACCTCCCGCATTTATCACAAGAGAACGGTTTCTCGCCCGTGTGTCTCGTAATATGTACCATAAGCGGCGGTTTAGTCCTGAACCGTAAATGACAATATGTACAACCGAAAGGAAAGTGATCGGTGTGCGATCGACTATGTACAAAGAGCGAAGCTTTCTGCTTGAACGCTTTACCGCACAAATCGCAAATGTACGGTCGTTCGTTTGTGTGAATTCGTCTATGTTCGGTGACGTTCCTTCGCGTGGAAAACATTCGACCGCAAATATCGCATCCGAATTTTTTAATCCCTTGGTGAGTTTCGCGGAGATGTCTTGCTAGACCTTGAGAAACGCGGAATTGTTTCCCGCATAAATCGCAAACAAACGGCCGTTCTCCGGTGTGAATTCGCACGTGCCATAAATATGTGTAAGGAGAATACAAACTTCTTCCGCAAATTTTACAATTGTAATAAACTTTTCCGTCGACGACGACTTTCGCGGCATTCACAGCTTCTTGATCGATTTTAGTGTGTTTACGTCTTTCCTTTTTCTCGGAATTTTGTGATATATTGACCGTTTCATTTAAATCAATTTCGTTGCCATGTTGTTCTCGCACGTGACGAAGAATATCTTCGTCTTTTATGAATAAAGCCCCACAATATTCACATGAAAAATCATATTTTATCACATTCACAAATTCAAATTCGTTATTTTCATCTTTTAAGAAATTTGGCTTTGTTACAACATTTTTATCGGTATCATTCATTGATGGAAGTTGCGACTCGGTTTGAGTAACATTTGAATCGGTTTCTTCGAGATACTCTGATATTTTTATTTCTCCCTTATTAATATCATGCGAATTATTATTAGGTATTAGCTCATTACATAAAGTTGATTCAGTTGGAATGGTATTGTCGTATAAAGCACTCAGACTTACAGATGAATCATCTTGGTCCGTTCTAAAACAAAAATATCGTTTATAAATTCTTTTAAGTTAATTTTATCAATGCTATAACTAAATCAACAAGAAAACCAGTGTTATGATATTATTTTTAAGATAATTTTGAATTTTAACTCAAATTTGACGTTTGACTTGTCAAATGTTGGATTAGACTTAACCTATAATAATAAAACTTGACAGTTTGAAAAGAATTATCTCTAAATAAAAAAATAACTACAAAAGGTGTAGGTCTAAGTGCTTTTACTCAATATAGTACTGATATTAATTTAAAAAATTTCTTACCGGTGATTTAGAACAGGTTCACATTCACCTTCGGTTCTTTCCGAAGGAATCGTAAGCGGCTTAGCTAAAACTATCTGCAACGCCCTAATTTTACGATCGGTTTCTATGCTTGTTACAATCAAATCATGCCAGGAAATTATTGCTGATGCACAAGTCCAACAACAACCAGTTGGCAAACGGTCGTTTTCCGCAACCTTTATGGGTAAATAAGTGTTCATTTTCAGGGCTAGTTCGTAGTTCTGCCCATCCGCCCCGAATATTTGAATGTTCTTCTCGTTTTCATTGCCGCAAACGCGACAAACCATGTCGAAACGTAGTATTTGAGCAGGGACGACATTCACCAATAACGTTTCTTGGTGTTGTTCCTCTTTTTCACTCTGGATATTTTCCATTGTGATTCCCCGACTTTTTATAGTTTGTTTACTTTATTTTCTTGGTTAAATAGACATTGGGATAATTTTTATTATCTAGTGTAATCAGGACTGAAGTACGATGCACAAAGTGACAAAGCTTACCTCACCTATAATGTCAAATTGACATTGGGAGTTTTAGATGCCATCTAGGAGAGAACACGTAAACAATGTAAAAAAATTGATACAACTGTAGATTCATAGATGGCAATATCGACGCTTTAAGGGATTTTGTTAATATTTTCGGTTTTCGGGAAAAGTAAGGTTATATTTTTGAGGTTATTGGTATTATCTTCTTTTTATTTCCATTAAAAATGATTAAAGTAAAAATTTGGCATGACGAAAAGACGTGGAACATAACTGAAAAAATACCAAAAAACTTAAACGATTTTAATCCTATTATAAAAGCTGCACAAAAACAAACCAATGATTTATTAACAAATTTAATCGAGGAGCAAACACAAGGTGATGTACCCTCAGATTCATCAGGTATATAATAATATTAATATTAATAATATTCGTTTCCTTTGTTATTATTCTTTTTTGTAGGTGATGGAAATGAATTAACTTCAGATGACGATGATAATAATGTGACATCTACAAAGTTTGAAAAGATATCTTCTAAAAGAGTTAGTGATAATAATCAAACATGGAAAAAGTTAAAAACAAGTTAAATATAAAAGTTTGTTGATTAAAATTAAAACCCTACAATAATTACTTTCTTTAATTTAAATTTATTGTTTGTTCCTATGTTTATGAAATACCATTTTTGTGTTAAAAACTGTGCCAGCATTTTCACCTTACAAACCATTTCTCATTTTTTGCTTGAATGCTTTAGCGCTAGTATAAGATTGTTCAGTTAAGTGGATTTGTCTGGACTAAGCAGCCAACACCAAGAAACGATATGGAAAACATTCATTTCTACTCAATTCAGTTCAACATTTAGCAATTTGTGATTTTGACCATTTGTGCCAAATATTTAAACATCTATTTTTATTTTTGTTATAGCAAATGTGACAAAACATTTCAATATGTGGTATTTGAGACGCGAATTAAAGTGAACTGAAGACACTGGTGTTTTAAGCCTAAGAGGGACCTTTCCTTCTGTCCATCACAGCAATTTCGTTGGTTTAAATCTTTGACTTGGTTTCAATTAACTTTAGGCCAATTGATCCAAAAATAACTAGTTTTTGTTTATCATGTCAACTTTTTACAGGAAACTTCAGCACATCTAATTAACTATAAAACAACTCAAAAATCAAACTCAACAGAAATTGTATTACAAATTGTTCCCCAGTGTTATCATTGTCTGTAATTATTTATACACAGTAATTTTCACTAGAAAATAGGAATTAGGGAAATATTTTGAGCACAAAATCTCTGGTTATAACTACTAGCGCTATATACTTACAAAAAACATTAACAACGTGGCGCGTCGGCGATGTTATGGTAGCACCTCCGCTGCAAAATCATCCGTCTAGCCTGCCGAAAATCAATTCTTCACCATACACAAGATCTCGAACTTTTACAGACTTCAATTGGCACCCCTAATGATCATAGGCAACGTTGTTTGTTCGTTGGAAGAGGACCTCAATTTTGACAAAAATGAAAACAAATCTTTAGCGACGAGGCGCACTTTTAGATGTTGCTAACAAGCAAAATTGCCATATCTATTAGAGACGCCGCTATCGAAATAACGAGGTGCACCAGGTGGCGATGCATCCACAAAAATTTGCTGTTTGGTGTGGTTATGTGCCTGCGACATCGTTGGTTGGTACAGATCAATGATAACCCATGTATTTCGGCCAAAATTAATATGAATGTGGTCGGCACTACATACAATGGATATTCTGTCTATACTTTTTGAAGTATGGTTATTTCTCAGAGGTGACGTGTATTGGCTAATCAGTTAGTACGGATTGACCCTTCTAGGCTTCACGAATTTTGATTTAAATCTCGTCCCATTTATTTTTCTTTCACTTATAAATGATAACATTAAGTAGCATCTTAGCATTTTGTAAGTTTTTACGGTCAATCCTTGTAAAAAGGGGCGGAGTTACATGTTTCTTAACATCTTCAGTTTTGCAACATTTCTCTACTTTTTCTTCTTGAACGGGTGGTCGGCGATCGTTTACAATGATTCACTGTAACAACTCTAATCCTATGTCATCTTGTACTTCTACATATGTTTCCGAGGTACGGATTAGGTCGAGAATTGTCTCTTCATATCTCACCTTATGAAATGTTGAGGTATTACCAGTCCAGTATGACTATAAATCTGGGTCAAAACAGCATCTGGGGCAAGTCCAGATTGCGATGACCACTGTAATCCGGCCTGGTTTTACTCTTTACATCTTTTTTCTATCTTCAGTAGATTTCTTGTTTTTTTTAAATTATGTAATCATAATCTTTTGACTTAAGTTGACTGGTTTCAGAATGCCCGCCAGATTATTCTTTGCGTTTATTAGAATAATCTAATGATTTAGTGTTACAGTCTTCTTGTTCTTTATAGTGTCAAGTACAGTAATATACAGGGTGTCTCAGCGACACCGGTCATTAGACGTTTCTGGGGTTCTAGCCAAACAAAAAATTTGAGAATGCAGACTTAAGTATTATCAATTACGTTCTCTTCATCTAAAATATTTTCAGATTTCTAGCACTTCCGGTTATACCGGAAGTCGCCACCTACTTTATTTTTTTAAATGGAACACCTTGTATATTTTTACATATTTGGATTTGTCTGTTTTGAAGGTTTATAAATAACTTTACTTTTTGCAATTTGAACCAGCAATTCTCGAGTTATTCGAATTTTTCTAGAAAAATTTGCTCCAGCGGACATTTGTTCAAAAAATCATAGAACACTCAATTTTTGAGATATCAATTTAGGATTCAGAACATGCTTAAACAACATGATGGAGTATGTTTTGGTGCCGAGAACGGCTGTCTAGATCGTTTGGTCACTTTACTATGACACGTTAACTTTTCGAAATTTGGAAGCACCATAACTTCATTTTTTTAAATGGCACCCCCCATATTTTATTACTTAGTCGTCTTCGGCGTCTCATTT